TATACAATTTTTTTTTATACGTTTGAATTATAATCTAAGTTCTAGTTAAATAGGGTCTTTCTAAACTTTAAAAATAGAAAAACAAGTGTTGGAAAATTCCACCCATATAATTTTGAAAGGAAATACGATATAAAAAAGAGTTTGAGAGGCATATATAGTAAGTTTGAAACGTTAGTATAATTTTAATAATATATCCATACAAAATAATTGTAATGTAACTAAAGTTTGATGTATTATAGTTTTACCTGAAGGCAAGGTTTGATTCATACAAGCTCAAGCCTTTTGCATAGAGTCTTTCTAGTGCGATTTATTTTTCTATATGTAGTTTGTGAGCTTTCTAGTGCGATTTATCTTTTCATATGTAGTTTGTGAGTTAGTACACAATAGTAGTGAGGTTCAATCAATGTACACCATTTTTTTTTTTTTACTATAATTATTGACATTTCAAGCATTTGGTATGATTTTTTAAATTTAAATTGTTCAGTTTTTTTTAAAATAGTATTACTGACTCCATTGCAATGCATTATCTGTTCATAACTACTTTATCAACCTACTGAATCACAAATAGTCAATATCCCCCTACTAAGGCTCGAGCACATGACCTCCCATATGAGATAGACACTTCGTGCCACTACACCACAATGTCATGAAAAGGTAAAAAAGCCTGCATGGGCAGCTCAACTAGTTATAAAGGTGAAAGTTGGAAAGAATAATCAGGGATTGAGTCTTACCAACGCCAGTGTGGGAGCAACCTCTCAAAGTGAAGGGAGCACCTTGTTCTCAATAAGCAAATGTCTAGCCTTTATGATTCATGTTCAGTTGAGTTACAATAATTCACATCCTTCAAGATGTTCTGTTGAGTCGGGGTTGGGGATCAGACTTTTGGAAAGAATGAAAAGGTAAAAAAATTTCAGTTATAATCATGAAAAGGTCAAAAAAAGTTTCCTTATAATTATCAATTTATAAGAAGTCTTGAATTTTATTTTATTATTTTACTAGTAATTCACCTGCGCGATGCACGGGAAAAAATTATATTATTATAAATATAAATAAAAATAGAAAAACTAAAATATTATAAATTATTTAATATAATAATATTTTTGAGCTTTCATTGGTCAAGTATTTATTAATTTTATAGAATACAAAATTACAATTAAAATTATAATTATAATTTTGTATGGTTATTATAATCTCTAATTATGTACATATTCAAATAAACTTATAGAGAGAATTTACATAATTACATTGATTTATTCTTAATTGTATTTCATCTGTATTATAATTTTTATAATACGAATAATAACTAAGATAATTACATTTGGAAAGCAAATTTTAAATTTTGTATGTGTAAATTTAAACTCTAATTGAACACATTTTTTATATGATTATATAATATATAGCTATTTTATTTTTCAAAAGTATATTTTTTATATGATTATATAATATATAGCTATTTTATTTTTTAAATATTATGCTTTTTTTTTAATAATAAAAGATATTGTGGCATTAATTGTAGCATTAATTATTTTCCAAACCATATAACTTTATTATATAATAAATAAATAAATGAAGGATTTTATTTTTGTGGTGTGGTCATTGGTCAATTAGCCTGTAAATATGTAATTTCAATGTAGAGAAGGGGGAAAGTATGACTATTGACGTTTTAACCTGCGACCCATAAAAGAGCATAACATCTCATGTGCCGTTAGTTTGTGAGTGGAAACTGCCCGATCTAACCGGGCCCTACTTGCGAGTTGCGACCACTCCTTAGCCACTTTCATTCCAAATTTACCCACATTGTACCACCTAAACTACTCCTCGTACCACAAGGACATTTCTTTATAATAATAAGAAAAAAATTTTAATATTTAAAAAAATACCAAATCCCAATTAAATTAGTCAGATTATCAATTTTGTAACCATAAAATTTTAAGTTTTATTAACCATAAGAGCGATCTTTTTTTTTTTTTTTTTTTTTTTTTTTGCCCAAAGATATCATTCCTGCCGATAGAAGCCGGAAGAGTAATTTCCCGTCCCTACTGTTAGCATACTAAGTGGTAGGGGACTGACCAAATGGTTTGCTCCATTCACATGGGTGGAGATCAAACCCCCAACCTCATGCTTAAGGGACGAGGGGCTGAACCACCACGCCAACCATGTTGGTTAAAGAGCGATCTATTAACTTTCTTCTTTTTATTTATTTTTTTCTGAAAAGAACTTTCTTGTTTTGAGATAGTCAATTTTGAATTTTCTCGTTAACAAAAAAAAAAAATACCATAACTAACAACTGTAGATAAAAAAAAAAGATTGATAATTTTTTAAAAATAAATTTTTTGTACATTTATTTGTACAATATCTTTCTTTTTATAATAATAAATACGGTGTTTTGTCAACCTTGTACAAATTTTAATAGTTTTATGTACGCAGATTTAATATTATTTAATTAGTTTTTGGTAAAGTTTATCAATTTGTAAGTACCTAATTAATATAAAAAGTTGTACAATTATATAAAATTTGAGTGCAAATGAGGGACCATTTTGTTGGAATTATAAATTAAAATTTATATAATTAATTTGTTATAAAGATTTATAATAACTAATTAACTATATAATACATTTGTTATAAATTTTAGCTAAGTGATGCTTAAGGACTTCTCGGGTCGAATGTTATAATTTGATTATTATATCAGATGTATGTGTCATATTAATCTTATGATAGATCTTTACAAAGAATTCGAAAATCATTTTTTCTACTCTTACGTTGTCTTTTGTTCCAAAAATTTTCCCCATACATTCTGAATAAACTTTGTATTAGATATGTCATGTTTTTGAATTTCTTATTTACATACTGGTTAAGTTGTTGTTAACTTTATATGAGTTCTTTTAACACTTATTGTATTGTATTTAATAAATAGAATGTAGGGTGTGTTTGATTCGCACATGGGAATCAGAATCGTAATGGGAATCAAATACTTGATACTGATAATGAGTTTTGATACAAATATGTTTCATGTTTGGTAGTATGGTGGAATTAGAATAATTACAGATGTTTGATTGTGTATGACTCTATAATGAGAATAAATGTTTTAAAAATATAAAAACAAAAAATAATGACAATTGATCAAATATAATGATATCCAAAGTCAATATGAACAAAAATAATCAAAACAAAAATAAGTACTAATTCAAATTTTAAAATTAAATTATCAATAAAATGAAGTAATACTTATTTTTAATTAAACGGTAATAAAAACTCATAATTGTGTTTTAAAAAATTATCAATTAAACACTAACTACGATTTTAATTCTTATTCCTGATATGTAAACTCATGAACAAAACACATCTTTCACTAACCTGGCATTTGGTTCACTGTAATTTAACTGTAGTTGAATTGCAATTCAGTGGATGCCTCAATTACATTGTTTGGTTGGAGGGAATTGCATTTCCACAGAATTGCAATTCCATCCTTTTATTGAATTGCAATTCATGGGTGGGTTACCCCCATGAATTGCAATTCAATGAATTTGAGAAATGAAAAACATATGAAATGACATTACTACCCTTGATTGTTATTACTATTATTATTACACAAAGGTATTTTAGTCTTTATACCACTTATTTCCTTCTCAATTTCAATAATTCTATTTCTCCCTACAAAACAATGTAATTTGAATTTCTACTTTTTTTTTTTTGATAAAAGGAGGGATTAACCCGACTGAAGCTCTCAGTTCTCGCTGCGAGTGACTTTGGCCCCTGTAGTATCTTCCCACGTCACATCCTCCACGATATCGGGCATGTCCACGATGACTCGGGTGCCTAGCTCATGTGTAATAGCCACCGCAACAAGGTGGTCTGCAATTCTATTATGCTCACGTCGGACGTGCTTAAATTCCAAGTGAAGGAACTTGTTACATTCCCCGGCACTCATCCTCAAGACGTTGCTCATCCATCTCCAACCATACTCCCTATTTGACATCTTGTTGATGGTATCCAAGGAATCACTTTCAACAATTAAATTTGTAGCACCCCATGCTGCCGCCAAATGGAGGACTTGAAGCATCGCCCATCCTTCCGCCTCCTCCGCCGTGCACGAGCCGATGTTATGCGTGAAGCCTCTTATCCACCGGCCCGTATGATCCCGGATGACACCACCACACCCCGCTATCATGTTCGCCCCTTTACTGCAGCCATCAACGTTCAGCTTGACGCACCCTGCATCCGGTTTGATCCACCTCTGCGCGCCATCAACTGCTACACTCATCGGCCCTTTCTTTCGGAAAGCTTCTAGCATCTCGTCCCGTTGGCTCTTGATCATTGCCACCCGCTGCGTCAAACTTACCCTCGTGCCTTCAAACACGCTGCTGTTGCGCCATCGCCAGCACCACCATAAAGCAACGCCAAAAGTAACCCTCCAATGGTACTGGAAGCCCAAAGCACGGTCCGCCTTCAGGTTCGTGGAAAGCCAATCCGTCCATCTTTGCATTTGTAACACCTGCATGGCCTGCCGCGATATAAGAAGTTCCCAGAGCCTTGCTAACTCTACACAGTCCTTGAAAATGTGCTCGATCGTTTCTAGAGCCCTGCTAATTTGAATTTCTACTTTATTCCCATTGAATTATAATTTCTTTTTCTTTTAATTCATTCTTTCCAACCAAACGCCTAATTCAAAACGAGTTGATATTTTGTCCATCCATGGTGATTTGTCGTTCGCAAAAAGTCAGAATCTTAAATGTGGTGGGGATGTAAATAAACCGAAGTCCAAGGGCTAAACAGCAGAAGAATGGGCCAAATCAAATTGATGAATTATGCCACAGAAGAAAGATACAAGGTAGTCTTGGCCAATAGATTCACTTGCACGGAATCCCTGAAACCGGTCTCTCTCTCTCTCTCTCAATCTTCCTTCATCACATCTCTACCAACCCTTCTTTATAACCTCCCCCAATTCTAGCTCCACACCTCCACAGCCCCATTCTTGTTTCTCTCTCCCCCCCCCCCCCCCCCCCCCCCTCTCTCTCTCTATAATATGGACCCTGCAACTGGAACAGCAAGAAGGAGGTCTTGCTTTTTTGAGGATGATGATGATGGGCTTGTATCTATAGTGCCGGATATGGAAGCTGGGGTTTCTGGGAATCATCAGAGTATCTGTCTGGTTTCTGGGCCGGTTTATTCGCAGAGAAGGAGTAGCTTGAGGAATCTCTCCTCTGCTGCTGTGATGATGGGTTCTCCACGATCTGGTGGAAATGGGAGGTGTTATTACTGGAGTGATGGTAGATTTGAAGAGTCTCACTGCCCCCAACAATCCCATTTTCTGGACTCCTGCTTCCTCTGCAGAAAGCCCCTTGATAACAGAGACATCTTCATGTACAGGTTAGTCTTCACTCTTCATGATGCTTTGATTATATTCACTGCCATTTTTTTTTTGGGGGGTGAAAAGAGACATGGTTTCTGTTTTGTTTGATGAAATTGTGTTGTTTTTCTGCAATGGGTCTTTCATGTTTTGCTCTGGGTTGCCAGTTTTGTGATAAAAATTGAATCTTTTTCAATTTCCACTCATAGTTTAGCAGTCTATTCGCCTTCCTGGTTGAAAAGAGACATGATTTCTGTTTTGTCAGATGAAATTGTGTTGATTTACTGCAATGGGTCTTTCTTGTTTTGCTTTGGGTTTCCAGTTTTGTGATAAAAATTGAATCTTTTCAATTTTGACTCATAGTCGAGCACCTTATTGGCCTTCTTGATTTGTATCGATCCTATCCCGCTTAGGTTAATAAGGCTGGTTTACCTATACACACCTTCGGATGGGTCGTAGGTTTACCTGATGCACACCCTCAATTGTTGGTGACTAGTTTTCTAGAAAAAATTGAATCTTTTCATTCAATTTTAGAGATTTGTTTGGATTTGGTTTTGGGTACTGATTATGTGTTGTTGTTGCAGAGGGGATACCCCATTCTGCAGTGAAGAGTGCAGGCAAGAGCAGATAGACATGGATGAATCCAAGGAGAAAAGATGGAACCTTTCTACTTCCATGAAAGCTTTGAGAAAAAAAGACCAAAGGAGATCAACTTCTCCAAACAAAACCTCTGCACAAGACTACTCTTTCCACACTAACACTGTTGCTGCTGCCTAACTAAACCCACCATAAAGAACATAAATAAGAAAAACCAAAAACAAGAAAAGAGCCCATTAGACAGGATGAAGAAGAAGAAGCTCAGGCTTAGGTGGTGTGGGTGTTTGGAGAAGCATATATACATAGTACATATGAGGATTATGTGTTTTTATGTCTTCTATAGATGTAAATGGGGTGATGTGATGAGAGGCCTGTTTTTGCCTGGGAAGAAGAAGAACATGATGGGTCTTGTTTTTTTGGGTGTTTTTTTTTTTTTTTTTTTTTTTTTTTTTTTGGGTTTCTATGATGGAAATGAGAATCAATGACGCATGGCATAAAGTTTCTGCTTCTCTTCTTTGCAAGTTCAAGAATCCACTTTTTCTGTTCTCCATTAACTTCTTGCAGGGGAGAGTGTGTAGTTAGTGGGTTTGGTTGCTTTTTTTTGTCCATGAAACTGATGTGTTTGTCTTTTTGAGCCCATTGGGTGGCAAAAATCATTGTGCTCAAGTTGGAAGGGAATTTCCTAGCAAGCTGGAGAAAAGTAGTAATGGCTTCCAAGTTGATTATATGGAAAATTACTGCATTTACTTTAATTCTATAATAATATTTTATTTTTCATTATATGCTTTTAAATTAGAGTGATATATATGTGAATTATCGTGTCAATGTGGGCCAGTCCGCCCCATCGCGAGTTTTTTTACGCGGGCCTTTGCAGTTTGGCCTGCAAAGCTCATAGATTTGAATTATTAAACCCTAACCCGTCTCATGCGGACTCGTGGGCTTAATTTTAAAAATAAAAAAATTATTATTTTATTATTTTATATTCAAATAGTTTAACTTAAATAATATACTTTTTTTTTTTGTGTTTAAAAATAAAAAAGTTACATTTTTAACATATATAAAATTATGAAAAGCTCGTAGGCCAAGCACTGCGAGACTCGCATTTTTGCAAGTTAAAAATTTTAGGCCATAACCTGTCCCATCGCGAGGCAATTTAAAGTAAGTGCATCTTACCCTTTTAAAAGAAAAATAAATGATCTAATAATTCAAGGAAAAAATAATCAATTTTTAATTTTATTTCGGACTATTTTCAAAAGAAAATATTGATTTATATGATCTTCATTTAAAAAAAAAAAAAATCTTCATTTTAACTTCTTGAATGCTTTGGCATTTTTTTTTTCTAAGTCTCATACCTAAGCATGTATCTCTCGGGTGAGGTTTAAAATATACTTTAAGTTTCATATTTCTATTACTTTCATAACCTAACAAGATAATATATGTTGTTTGTACGGTTGATAATGTACATGATATAAATTTTGTAATCAAATAACAGAGTACAAGAAAACTTTAAGTAATCGTGAGTATGTGTGTGTATATATCAAAGCAAGTACCTATTGGGTAAGATTTAAAGTCTAAATTAGTTATAAATTATTCATTTTTTTTAACCATTTGTGAGTATGTGTACGATTGACGATGTACGAAATATAAATTTTATAGATAGGTAGTACAAAACACAAGAAAATGTAAGACATATGAAAGGCATTGGGCTTTAATTTGTCATTGAACTTTGTGGGAATGAGTTGTATGAAGGGCCAATAAAAGTGACCTCAATGACAATAACCCTTCATTAAGTTGACCCCTCTAATAATAGCTTGTTGGATAGTAAAAACCATTACAATGATGGGTCAAGTTGTGAAGACCAATTCATTACCTTTTAAAGCATGCTTGCTATTGGTGTGCCATCTGCCTTTATGGAGTGTTTTGCCACACACATCATTCTTTGGGCTTTAACCTAAAAGGGTCAGTCGTAAATGAGCTCTTTTTATGATGGAAAATTTCGAGATAACTCGAGTTTGATTTTTACAAGTGACGATTCTTTTTGGGTTAGTTTCCATGACTCTTGGAATGAAAGGGAATTAATTGGGTGGACCTGAATTGTTAAACAAACAGAGAAAAACCCGGACCACTTCGTAGTTTACACAAGCAAAAAAAATCATGTGCATTAGCTGCATCATGCTTACTTACCCTCCAGGCTCCAGCTGTGCTTTATCATTTTTTGGGCTTTTTCTTTTTCTTTTTAGGGTTGCTTTAATTGACATCTTGAGATTTTGAGGGAAAGAAATCAAGATAAGTGTCACTAATTTGACTACATAAAAAGAAAAATTTGTTGATGGCTATGTAAGTTGTGTTGTCATATTCTTGAAATAGAAATTTGGCTAGCTACTAATTTCGATATTGAGGTGTATAGGTCTATGTTCAATTTGGGCAGGACATCTGGTTTTTAGAGCTTCCTAGCTCAATAGTAGGATATTTTTAGTGATTTTTGTCTGGACAATAAGGAAAGAGAAAGAAAAGGGAAGAGGAAAAATATATATATATATATATATATATATATTTTATTTTTAAAGAAAATATTAACGCGCCCAGTCGGGTGCAAAATTTGCGCCACAAGCGAGTTTTCTAGAGTAGTTTTGCCTTCTTTTGTTTCTCTTTAGGGCTTACAAAAATCTCACATTTATAAGAAAAAAATATTCAAAAAATCACCCATTCTATTTGTTAAAAATCAGCACATTAATTTTTTACTGTTCCAAAAACTACCAAAAATTTACTATTGGGATTGTTCATATAATCTATATTATATTGACATATCATACATGATTTAGTGAAAGATCGGAAAAGGAAAAATAAAGAGAGAAAAAGTCATACACTAATAATTAATCAACACATTTAAAAGTATAAACTAAGAGGGTGGCATCACCCATTTGAGGGGCAGGGATCATCTTTTGGGTATACAACTTCTGAGTGAAAGTGGCAATCAAGGGAGCGTTATGATGTGCAACTGGGTGCACACAGAATTGGATTAATAATTTATATATTATAGATCCATAATTTCTATATTGTAGATTCATAATTGTTGTATTATAAATTCATAATTTCTGTACTATAGATTCATAATTTGTAAATTGTATAGTTATCAAATTATGAATATATAGTTCAGTGATTTGTGAATACAGAATTCAACAATTAGGAATATGAACATTGAAAATTATGAACATAGAGTTTTGTAATTATGAATATAGAGTTCAATAATTATAAAACTATAGTATAGAAATTATGAATGTATAGTATAGAAATTATGGATCTATAGTAAAAAAATTATGGATTCAATTTGGTGCACACAGTTGCATAGCATTATTTGCCGCAATCAAGCTGCATGACTTTGCTAAATAGTTAATTAAATAGATACGAGTGGATCTTATATACGACTGTCTAGATAATTTTAAAATCGATTAATTGAAAAATTAATCGTATATTTATGCCGTGGAAGGTGGACACGATTCTATATTCATAATTACTGAACTCCATGTTCATAATTTTTGAATTTCATATTCACAATTATTGAACTCTATGTTCACAATTACAGAACTCTATGTCCATAATTACTGAACTCTATACTCATAATTATAAAACTCTATGCTCATAATTTTTGAACTTTTTTTTTTTTTTAATGTTACTAGCTCTATTACATTGTAGTATCTGTTCATAAATTTTTGAACTTCATATTCACAATTATTGAACTCTATATTCACAATTATAAAACTCTATGTTCATAATTTTTGAATTCTATATTCATAATTATGAACAGTTTTGGAACCATAAGGTGGACACATTTCTACAGCATAATTTGCCAAATTAATCGTCGTAGGCCAATAGACAATTGGGCCCAACGGCTAATATTAAATAATATAGAGATAACAACTTTTTGATTGGCACTGTAACCAAAGCCCAATTAATGTTTCGGGCTTTATAGTCCAGATCATATCGGCGTCAGTCCAATACAAATTATGGGCTTTGAGATCACCACGTGAATTTGTCAGTTGTCAACTTGTGCCAATGGTTATAACACTATGCTCCCCGCGTCTCACAAAATGAGGTTGTTATGTTAAATTGTTAAAAGAAAATCTTTGTTTCGAATGTATATAAACTTATAATAAAATACACATAAACTCATAACAGAATACACATAATCTAACATAATACATAATATATATAAACTTTTAACTGAATGCACATAGTGTGATTTGATTAACATAATACACATAAACTCTTAACTGAATACACATAAACTCAAACACAATACACATAAATTTGTAACTGAATACACATAATGATGTTTGGTTAACATAATACACATAAAATTATAACTTAATACACATAATGAGGTTTGATTTGTTCGAACGAACTGGTTACGTCAGCATGAAACGCACGCATTTTGTGTCTAGACGCACATTACTATATGCGTCGTGGTACACGATATAAATTGCCAACTTGTGCTTTAGTAAACACATGCGGCACGCGACCCTCACGTGCGCACAAGCCCATTCCGTTAGGACCGCTACCTGTCACGGCGTTGTCGTTCCACATACACAAAAAAATGGTGGGAGGTTTACAACACATTTGTGATTTGTCCAAACCGAAACGTATCTCAAGACAGTTCCACACAGACAGAAGACCCGATCGTCAGACTTAAAATAGAAAAAAAAAAGGTTTAATCGCGCCGATTCTTCAGACTTCCAATTGAATCTCTCCCGTTTCTTCTTCGGGGAATTGAATAGCTTGCGGAACACTTCTCCCTCTAAAAGCTTTTGCCGTGCACGCCTATGGGCGCCGTGTTTGCTCAGACGTGTATGTATCTGTGTACATGTCTGTACGGTTACTGAGAGAACGAGCAGCAGGAGGAGGAGGGGGAGGAGGAGGAAGAGGAGGAATCGATAGGAGCTTGCGAAGATGCTGGAAGATCAAGTGGCGTATTTGCTGCAGAGGTATTTGGGGAACTACGTTTTAGGACTTAACAAAGAAGCTCTGAAGATCAGTGTCTGGCGAGGTAAGATTGATTGTGAATTCTTACTTCATTTAGCTATTCAATTGTATAATTGTTGCAATTTCACTTTTCACTTTGCAGTTTAACGTTGCATTTTCACATGTAGTTGAATTCGTGAATGCAAGGCGATTCACTTTAGTTCATTATTTGGTTCAAACTTTATTTGTGTTTTTTTTTTTTTTTTTGTGGAACTAATAATGCCCCATTTTTAGCTTGTGAGTTTCCACTTTCATGGACTAGTATTAATGTATAATAGACTAAGCTAAATGTGGAACCAAAGTGCTGGCGGTTGAGCTAAAAGCAGATATTTTTAAAGACATTGAAGCACACATGACCAACTGATGAAACCAATTAAAGTGATTGGAGAATTAATTATTTTTTGTAGTTGTGTAAAACCTGGGGTTTTCCAATAAGTTTCTATGAGGTGATGAATTGGAGTTCAGCCATGATAAATATTACATAAAACATAATTGAAGAGTAGAACTATTGAAGTAATTCCTTTATTTATTGATGGGAGATGAAGTACTCTTGAAGCATGCAGAGCTGAAAATAATTATTTGAATGTGTTGGCATTAAACATAACTAATTCATTTTTAGTTGAATGACATTTTTTTGACCTATTTATGGGCGACGAACAAATTTTTTTTTGCTTGATTTTTTCCATTAATGAAGTGAAACCTGGCGGCAATGCAGTTCTCTTTATTCAATTTGCATCGTAGCACTATTAACAGGAGATGTAGAACTTACATTAATGGGTATGCATTAATGAAGTTGATGGATGCATTGATTCTAATGTGTAACAGGAGATGTAGAACTTACGAATATGCAATTGAAGCCCGAGGCACTCAATGCATTGAAGTTGCCCGTGAGAGTTAAGGCTGGATTTCTTGGATCGGTGAAACTTAAGGTTCGTAAACTAAGTACATAGTCCATAGCTTATTTGATAATTTTGATTCTGGATAATGAAATGAATATGCTAGGTAATGCTGATTCTTATGCTTTCATGCAAGCCCTGTTGGTGTAATATATTTTTATTTTGAAGAATAGCCGTGTAGTTGTTGTGGGATGAAAAATATAAGTTTATTTTCTGGGATTAGTTGAAGTACAATGGAAAAATGCAGAAAATGTTTTCTACTTGGCATCATACTAGACCTTGTACAGTTGTATGTATCTATGCCATTTGATGTGCTTACAAATTTGTGAAATATACATGTATTTTTCCAAAAGTTCATACACAAATAATGATTTCGGAATTATACAGTAGTGGTGGAGACAAATTAACATGATTATTGGATACATGATATTTTATAAATGTTATGTGTTTTATGTCTATTTGTCTAGATGGTAAGCATGGCTTAATGTCCTTGTAATGTCTTAACATTTTGTTTCTTATTATTGACGTTTTTATATTTCCTAAATTATAGGTTCCATGGAGCAGGCTTGGCCAAGATCCTGTTGTGGTTCACCTTGATCGCATTTTTTTATTAGCTGAGCCTGCAACCCAGGTTGAAGGATCTAGTGAGGATGCTGTCCAAGAAATTAAGAAGAACCGTATACGAGTGAGACCTTCTCCTTTTGAGTTTTAAGTCTCGAGTGTTTTGCTTAGATGATTCATACAAATCTGCATTTTTCCTTGCACTAGGAAATGGAAACGAAGCTGGTTGAGAGTAGACTAATGCTGAAGAGTGAAATGGTACACTTTCTCTGTCTTGGCCATAACATGAAATGAATCCTTTGCGTTGCATGGTTATTCTCCTTAATAGCAGAAAACTTTCACTTGTTATATATATATTTTATGTGGTGTAGCACCGTGACTGTATTATTATTGAAGATTTTCATTGGAAATGAGCTTAACTGCCCTTGAAAAGAGTAACAGTTTTTTGCTAGCTCTATGTGTTGTATATTACTTGAAATTTTATGTTTATGTTTGAGGGAAATTTGATTTAGGAGCATTAAGTGTGTTCTTGTGGCAAAAATTTCTTCTTTAGCAACCTTCTCTTCCTTGTCATTGTTAATACATTTCATTTTCATGTTTGTTATTGTTGAAAGTGTTAAAACATGTGTTTTAAATAGAGTATTTGTAATTTGATTTTCTTATTATTATTTTTTTAGAACAACTCTTGGCTGCAATCTTTTATCAGCACAATAATTGGAAATTTGAAGCTTTCCATCTCCAACATACATATTAGATACGAGGATGTTGAGAGGTAAGGGTGTCATGTACAAATTCTCTCTTTCTTGATAGTTTTAGCCACTTATAACTTACACTATGCAGCAATCCTGGCCATCCATTTGCTGCGGGTATAACCTTAGAGAAACTCTCAGCAATGACAGTTGATGACTATGGGAAGGAGACTTTTATAACTGGAGGTGCATTAGAACTTATACAGAAGGTATGATTCTATTGCAACTGTGTCCTTGCATTGTTTTGATGGGATGTATACAATAAATATATAGGCCGTATTGTTTTGATGACTCTCACTAGATCCTTCAACCTGGGTTTCTGGATCTGCATACTGCAGGATTACATATTGCATTATATACTTGTTTAGCTTTTCATGTTGGTTGCTTGCTCATACACACCTTTTTTTTTTGGACATGCAAGTCTGTGGAGCTTGAAAAACTAGCTGTTTACTTTGATTCTGATATCATTCCGTGGCATATTGACAAACCATGGGAGGATTTGCTACCAGTTGAATGGGTCCAGGTATATTCTCCTTGTACGTCTTTTATGCATTATGTTCTTCATGAGCTGGTCTTGTTCCTGACCAGGTTCATGTTTTAGGTTTTCAGACATGGGACTCAGGATGGCAAACCAGCTGATAATCTTGTAAAGGAGCATTCATACATTCTGCAACCTGTGACAGGGAATGGAAAATTCTCTAAACAGCGGCCTAATGTATCACTTCAGACTGGTGAACCGTTGCAGAGAGCAGCTGTAACTTTGGATGATGTGACCCTCTGTTTGTCAAAGGCTAGTCTTACAACGTTTATCTTTTTTGCTTTATGAAGAACTATATCAGTTTCCTGTGCTGGTCTTGTAACTCAACTTTTGCCTCCGTACCTCTTTGCAGAGTGGTTACAGAGATATAATAAAATTGGCTGAGAATTTTTCTGGATTTAATCAACGACTAAAATATGCTCATTTTCGTCCACATATTATGGTAAAATCTAATCCAAGAGCTTGGTGGAAGTATGCCTTCAAAGCTGTGTCTGATCAAATAAAAAAGGGCAGGTATCTAAATAGTCGTAGAGGTGGAAGAAACCTTCCCAATTTATTTATCCTCTCTTGTTTTATCTTTTTCTTTTTGCAAGTATTAATATTAAATTATTAATTGATATTAATAGTATTATTATCATATCTTCTTGCAGTGGGAAACTATCATGGGAGCAGGTCCTGCGATATGCAAGTTTGCGCAAGAAATACATTTCTTTATATGCTTCACTGCTGAAATCCGATCCTGATCGGGTTGTTATTGATGATAACATGGATGTAGAGAAACTGGATCGTGAACTAGATATTGAAATTATACTCCAGTGGAGGTACATTGTGTTCCTGTTTGCTGAAGGAAATGTTAGCTTTTGAGTTAATCGTTTTCCTATTTACTTCCTTCATGCTTGTTTTCGTTTAGAGGGGAAATGCAGGGGTTAGGGGTGACATCTGTGGTGATTCCTTCTTTTTGGCATTTGGTGGAGCTAATGCTGTATTTTGTCTCTGTAGGATGCTTGCCCACAAGTTTGTGAAGAAGTCGATGGAGTCAGACCTTTATGTAAGAAAACAAAAACAAAAAGCAAACAAACCGTGGTGGTCATTTGGCTGGTTAACTTCTTTCCATGAATACTTTTTTAGTTTAAACAATATCTTCTCTTCTTGATGTGTTGGTTTAATGCTTTCATCAGGTCTAGTCAATCTGTTGAAGATGAAAGTGCTCCGGGAACTTTCAGTGAGGCTGATTGGGAAAGATTAAATAATATAATTGGGTACAAGGAAGGTGATGAAGAACCATTATTTGCAACCCATGACAGGAGGGACTTGCCACATACTACCTTGGAGATTCACATGAAACATAATGCTTCTAAACTTAGTGACGGTCAGGATTGCCTTGCCGATTTGTCCTGTGATAATCTCGACTGTTCTATTCAGCTTTACTCGGAGACAAAAGTTTTTGACATAAAGTTGGGATCATATCAATTGCTGTCTCCAAATGGTCTTATTGCTGAGGTGTGTCTCTTTTCTATCTTTACCCCCTTTTCGCTTAGAATGAGATTACTTGGAAAAATGGGATGTAGAGCAAATTGTGTGACTCCCTATAAAACTATCTACTCTTTGACTTGGTAAAATTAGAATTATGAATTTTTCACCAGTTTCTAATAAGTTGGCACAGGGGGTGTCTGGGGTTTTGTAAAATGAAATTACCTGTTGTGATCCCCCATTTCTCTCTCATGTAAGCACTAAGGGTGTGTTTGGTTGATGGGTTTTGCCCATAGGAATGGGTATGAAAGTGATTGATATTGTTTGGTTGATAGGTTTTTAGAACACTACTATGGGTTTCGAATATCCCATGAATTGAAAAACCCATACCTAAATAAAATAAGGGTTTCATTCCCTTATTCATTCTCAAGCACTACTATTAGTAACCATTCCCATTCCACCCTACTACCAAACATGTTAAATACTTTCACCAAACCCATTACCATTACCAAGTATTTGATACCCATTCCGATTCCGATTCCCATGTGCAAACCAAACACACCCTAACCCTTTCTTTATGTATCTATTTCTTTGTTTTTAGCTCTATGTTCTATATTGTGCATTATGTTATGCAGAGTGCAACTTCCAAGGAATCATTGGTTGGTGTCTTTTGTTTTAAACCTTTGGATGGTAATGTGGACTGGAGTTTGGTCGCTAAAGCTTCTCCATGCTATGTAACTGTATGATGCTATCACTTCAATTTTCTTCAACACTTGCTAATTATTGATTCGATCTATCTATCTAATTAAATTACTTATTTTGATCAGTATCTGAAGGACTCAATTGATCAAATTGTCAACTTCTTTGAAAGCAATGTTGCTGTAAGTCAAACCATAGCTCTGGAGACTGCTGCTGCTGTGCAGGTCTGCTTTTAGGCTTCATTTGAGGACTCATATTCCTTTCCAAGTTCCAGCTTCTTATTATTGTTATCTATTGTATCTTAACAGATGACTATTGATGAGGTCAGACGAACTGCACAGCAACAAGTGAATAGAGTGCTAAAGGATCAGACCAGGTTTTCTTTTTAGTGACGTGTTAATTTAAATTTTCTGTCATTTTTTACAATGATGAAGACAAAAAACCTACTTACAATGTTCTTACAAGAGTTGTCCTTTTCTTCTAGGTTCTTACTGGATTTGAATATTGCAGCACCCAAAGTTACCATTCCAACAGATTTCTCTCCAGATAACGCCCACTCTACCAAGCTTTTGCTTGACTTTGGGAATTTAGTGATCCATACAAAGGTAATCATATGTTTTTTAGGGGGGAAAGGAATTGTAATTCGGTGGGAAAAGAATAAAGTGGGAATAAAGTAGGAATTCAAATTACGTTGTTTGGTAGGGAGAAATAGAATTATTGGTATAAAGACTAAAATACCCTTGTGTAATAATAATAGTAATAACAACCAAGGGTAGTAATGTCATTTCACATGTTTTTCCTTTCTCAAATTCATTGAATTGCAATTCATGGGGGGTACCCCATGAATTGCAATTCAACAAAAGGAGGGAATTGCAATTCCCTCCACCAAATAATGTAATTGAAGCATCCACTGAATTGCAATTCAACTACAGCTAAATTACAGTGAACCAAACGCCCTGTTAGGATAACTAGAAAATGTCTCCAAAGTTGACTTACATACAGGATTTGTATAATTATGCAGGATGATTCGGAATTTGTTTCACATGAGGACAGGAATATGTATGTACAGTTTGATCTTGTTTTGAGCGATGTCTCTGCTTTTCTGGTTGATGGTGACTACCACTGGGGGCAAGCGCTTCCTACTACTAAAATAGGTGGCCGTTCCAAGTCCAACATTATTTGTGTTCTGCCCGTTATTGATAAGTGTGGGGTAATTTTAAAGCTTCAGCAGGTATAAATTTGACACATTTATCTTCGATTTTATTTTATTACTCGTGCAAATAGGAAAAAATATACTCCGTAGTTGGTGTAGGTACAATTGAAGCATGTGCTCCATCTCAACTAAAGGTCTAAGCTGATAGTTGGATTGCACATTAATGGTTATATGCTCAACAAACCTTAGTGCTGTCTAACAATTCCACTTGTCATTGTCAGATCCGACTACAAAACCCAGGCTTTCCATCAACGAGAATTTCAGTTCAACTTCCATCCCTTGGTTTCCATTTCTCTCCTGCTCGCTATCATCGGCTGATGAAAGTTGTCAAGATTTTCGAGAGAGGGGAACGAAATGATTTAGACTATTTTCGCCCTTGGAGCCAAGCTGATTTTGAAGGGTGGTTATCGCTTCTTAGTTGGAAGGTAGTTATGAACCTAAATTAGTCATTCTGAATTCTGATAGTATGATTTATGAACCTTCTGATTTGTATACACTTATCCTATATTTTAAGGGCGTTGGAGGCAGGGAGGCTGTATGGCAACGAAGATATGTATGTATTGTAGGCCCTTTTCTTTACGTACTAGAAAACCCTGGCTCTAGATCCTACAAGCAATATATCGGGTAAACAATTCTCTCTCTCAGTTATGAAAGTTAATTACTAAATAATATTCAGGAATACATCATGGAAAGTGTTAATCTAGATTTGCTGTTTATGATTGTTGCAGTTTACGAGGAAAACAACTCTATCAAGTCCCTCCTGACATTATTGGAAACGTAAAACATGTTTTGGCAGTTTGTGATGCTGAGCGAGCCAATAACAAGGTTATTGCTGGATAAGATTCAAGTCACGTCTTGATTTTTGCAGTTGTGTTCTGACTTTATTTACATCATATGTACATGTAGATAGTAGAAGATGCAAATGCCGTAATATTACGTTACAACTCTGAAGAATCAAAGAGAGTTTGGCAGAGAAGTTTGCAGGGGGCAATCTATCGTGCTTCGGTATATTTACATGCATATATATATATATATATATATATATATATTTCTGTTATTAAGACTTTAGATTTCTGGTGGGGAAAATCTCCATCTCTATTCTCACTCTGAGTATCCATGTAGGGATCTGCTCCTATCTCTGGTTTGTCTGAATCTTCATCTGATTCAGAAGACTCTGAAATGGATCGTATCAATAATCGTGACAACAAGGACCTGTCAAAGGTGGAGAATCTGTATCTGACTGGTGTTCTTGACGAGTTGAAGATGTGCTTCAATTATAGTGGCCAGGTAAGCATGGCTGATACAATCAAAAGTTACGGTTATCTGAAATTGTGGATTGATAGTTTAATGACACGCGAATTTCTTTTTCTGTACTTGATGTAGAACGACCACAGTTTTACAAAGGTGCTGCTGGAGGAGGAGAGCCGTCTGTTTGAATTTAGAGCAACTGGTGGGAGGGTAAGGTCACTGCATTTTTCCTATACTTTTGATGTTTTATTGGGAGTTAATTCCACCAGAGGTCCCTTGTCTTTGGTGGCAATTCCAAATTTAGTCCCAGACTATCGTTTTTGCCATTTTACATCCCAGACTATCGTTTTTTGGACACTTTTAGTCCTTATGACTTTTTCTGTTTTTAGTAAGGGCATTTTTGTCTCTTCATATTTTTTTTTGTTATTTTTCCAGTTTCAACCAGTTTAATTTGTTTAGAACTTTATTAAAAATCAGTTGAAAAATATGGTTATTGAAAATCCGAGGTTATCTAAAGTTCTAAACGAATTAAACCGGTTGAAATCGGAAAAATAACAAAAGAAAAATAAGAAGAGACAAAAATGCCCTTACTAAAAATAGAAAAAGTCATAAGGACTAAAAGTGTCCATAAAACGATAGTCTGGGATGTAAAATGGCAAAAACGATAGTCTGGGACTAAATTTGGAATTGCCACCAAATACAAAGAGACCTCTGGTGGAATTAACTCTTTTATTGGTTATATGCATCTATTATAAGCCTATTATTCCTCTCTAGGTTGAGCTTTCAATTAGAGGAAAGGATATTTTTATTGGCACTGTACTGAAGTCTTTGGAGATAGAAGATTTAGTTTGCCCATCGGGAATGTTGCAGCCATGTTATCTGGCAAGATCTTTCATTAGGAGTAGTGATACTCAAATCGTGATCGATGCTCAATATGAAGCAGAAGAGAAATTCTATGAGGCAACAGAAGATCTAAATGACATCGATAGTCCACATGCATTGGGCGGTGGTTCTGGCTTGTTGAGTCCTACCTCGTCATTCTCACCAGGCAGGACCGTTATAAAGGCTCCTAGTTTTAACCGTATTGCTGGTCTTCTTCCTACGGAAGCAACTGAAAATGGTGGCAATCTTATGGAAGTAACTGATACGTTTGATAGTTTTGTGAAGGCACAAGTTATAATATTTGATCAAAACTCCCCCCTTTATTCTAATGTTGATACAAAGGTAAGCCGTTAATATTCTCTCGACCTGCCTTTCTGAATCCTTTTTAATCTTCATTCAGTATACCATGTTATATAATTTAAGATTGGGCCATGGTCACTCAACTGGGCTATATGCACATGGGCCAAACCACACTAAAAGATTGAATCCAACCAATTAGCTAGTCTAACCCATGGCCTTATAAACCCATATGTTCTCTCTTATTTTATAGATGTGGGACTCTTAATAAGTTTTTAAGTTCATTACTCAATTTTACAGGTGGTGGTGACGCTAGCTACATTGTCATTTTTCTGTCGCAGACCAACGATAAAGGCAATCATGCATTTTGTAAATGCTATAAATCTTGAGGAAGGAAGCTGTGAATCGTTTAGTGACACGTCTTCATCATCCGAGCTACAACATGAGATCTCTGATGCAAATGTGGATGATGAGCCTGCAGTTAAGAGTTTGCTTGGTAAAGGAAAGTCTAGAATCGTTTTCTGTTTGAAATTGAATATGGCTCGTGCCCAGATTTTACTGATGAAAGAAGATGGATCTTCGCTTGCTACTCTGTCACAAGATAATTTCCTTACTGATATTAAGGTTCATATTTTCCCGTCTCGAACAAAACTAGGAATTATTTTACGTGCTTATGATACTGAAAGTGATATTGTGTTCCACATCTAGGTATTTCCATCTTCTTTTACTATAAAGGCATCCCTTGGAAATCTGCGGATCAGTGATGACAGTCTACCCGATACTCACGGGTATTTTTGGGCTTGTGACATGAGAAATCCAGGAGGGAGTTCTTTCGTGGAGGTAAAGAGAGTTTTTTTTTTTTTTTTTTTTTGTGGGTTGGGGTCATTGTTCTACTGGCAAACACAAATTTTCTTGTGGCTGCAGATATGATGAAATGTCGTGGAATCAATATTTTGCCTTGATTTTTTTTTTCCCCATTTACTGAAATTTTCATATTTGGAGCTACAGTTGGAATTCTGTTCATTCAATGTTGATGATGAAGATTATGAAGGTTATGACTATAGCCTTCTTGGTGAGCTATGTGAAGTGCGGATTGTTTATTTGAACCGTTTTATACAGGAGGTAACTGAGCTTTTGCCTATCGTTATTACCTACTAAAGCTCAGTGAAGTAACTGATCTTGTGCAATTCTAAAATTGACTTCTAGGTTATCAGTTACTTCATGGGTCTTGTTCCCAATGATTCGAAAGATTTTGTCAGAATTAAAGATCAAGGCACAAACTCGGAAAAATGGTTTACAAGAAATGAGGTTGAAGGGTCACCTGCTTTCAAGCTGGATGTTTCGCTTAGAAAACCCATAATATTGATGCCTCGCCGTACTGATAGTCTTGAGTAAGCTTGTATTCTTCTCTGTAAATCCTTTCAACTTCATCAGTTATTTTGAACAATGGCCTCACTACAATTTTTATAATGGAGTTAATACCATCCGAGGTCCTCCAAGTATAGTGGTTTTGCCACGTTTAGTCCTAAACTTTCAAATTGACCATATGTGGTCCTTCGACTCTCAAATTTAACCATTCGTGGTCCAAGTTAACCACCCATGGTCCTTCAACTATTAAATTTTAACCAACCATGGCCCTTTCAAGAGGACCACAACTGGTTAAATTTCGAAACTTGAAGGACCATGGGTGGTTAACATGGACCACGAATGGTTAAATTTGAAAGTCGAAGGACCACAAATGGTCAATTTGAAAATTTAGGACTAAACGTGGCAAAACCACTATACTCGGAGGACATCAGATAGTATTAACTCTAATGACATCTCTAGAGTAATGACACACTTTAATTGTTGGTACTTTCATGCAACACACATAACAACTGGTTTGTGTTTTTTGTATATATCTTCGTATGCTTATTAATCTCGACTCCTCTTCCTTGCAGTTTTTTAAAGCTCGATGTTGTTCATATCACTATCCAGAACAGCTTTCAATGGTTTTGTGGGAGCAAAAATGAAATGAATGCTGTACACATGGAAATATTAACAGTTTCAGTAAGATTTATATCCTTTAGATACATATTTCTATGAAAGAATATTCATACTTACGCAAGTTCCCTTCTGTAGGTCAAAGATATCAATTTAAACGTTGGTGCTGGGTCGGAATTAGGTGAAAGCATTATTCAAGATGTTAGTGGCATTTCAATTGTAATCCAAAGATCATTACGAGACTTACTTCATCAAATTCCAAGTGTAGAAGTTAGTGTAAAGGTATTTTACTGCTCATATTTTGTACATTTTTGGTTCTCTTACTGCTTTGGAAACTGAGATGTATTGTCTGTGTTGATATGCGTCATAATCAGATGGAAGAATTGAAAGCAGCTCTATCTAGCACAGAGTACGAGATTATTACTGAATGTGCTGTGGCTAATTTTTCGGAGACTCCAAATACTTTGCCCCCTCTAATAGGGGACTATGCTTCACCTTCGGCTGTAATGACCGAACCTTTAGCCCTGCAGAGCCCCGACACTGCAAACACTAAAACTGAAGATGGTATTAGATGGATTACTACCAAGGTTTCGGTCTCCATTAACCTAGTTGAACTTTGCCTTTATTACGGCTTAACGAGGGATGCATCTCTTGCAACACTGCAGGTAGTAATATTTTCTTATAAATGTTAGAATTTTCTCTGTTCTCTATCATAGAAGTTCCTATATTCAACAACATTGAAAACTGTTTGTTGTGTTTAAGGTGAGCAGTCTGTGGCTTCTTTACAAATCCAATACTGCAGGAGAAGGCTTTCTTTCATCTTCACTTGGTGATTTTGCAGTGGTGGATGACCGAGAAGGTATACAAGAGGAACTCAAGTTGGCGATTAGGAAGCCTGAGACAATTGGATATAGGTCTTCGAAATTTGTGAGAGATGGGGATAATCATCCCGACGTTAAAACTAGTGATATGGAGGATTTGGCACCGAGCCCCACAATGATTATTCTTGATGCAAAATTCGGTGAATGTTTGACATCAATTTCTCTCTGCATCCAGAGGCCACAGTTGCTTGTTGCACTGGATTTCCTGCTTGCAGTTGCTGAATTTTTTGTTCCCACGGTTCGTAGCATGCTGTCAAATGACGATGACAGGGGTTCCTCGCATTTAATAGACGCACTCATTCTTGATCGGCCAACTTACGTTCAGCCTTCTTCCGAATTCTTTATCTCTCCGCTCAAACCTTTGGTTGCTGATGATGAAAGATACGACCTTTTTGTATATGACGGTAAAGGTGGAATATTGTATTTGCGAGACAGACAGGGGAAAAACCTTTCTTCTCCAAGCGTAGAGGCTTTATTCTACGTTGGAAGCAGAAAGAAGTTACAGTTCAAAAATGTCACAATCAAGGTATGATTTCATTACTAATTGGTCTGTGTTTTGTAAGAAACTATTCAAACTTCATTTATATATACTTTTGGCAGAACGGGAAGTATCTAGATTCGTGCATCTTACTCGGGCCAAACAGTAGCTACTCGGTTTCAGAAGATGATAAAGTCTACCTGGAGGAAGATGATGAGTGGCCTTCCGAGATTCATCCCAGTAGCACAGTTTCTGGAATTACTTCTCAGAGTCCTGTCAGCCGATCTACCGAGTTAATATTTGAGATGCAGGTGAAACTGTGAAAGAGGTTCCTCTTTGAAACACATTGAAAATTTATTTTTAATGCCATTTCACATTGATTGAAGCAATCGTTTGACAATTAGAGTTGTTTCATCCATTTTGATCTCGTCTCTTTAAATATACATTGGCTCTACAGGCTATTGGTCCCGAGCTTACCTTCTACAATACGTCAAAAGATGTTGGAGAGTCTCTTGTGCTCTTAAACAAACTTTTGCATGCACAGTTAGATGCATTTTGCCGGTAAGATTCATAAACTACTAGTAAAGTAAATTCCATGCTTATTTCAAGTTATTATGTGTCGTTGTCAGTTTTAGATTATGTTTTCATTTGACAACCTCGATTTTGATGTTTCTAGGGTTGTTTTAAAGGGAGACACTAGTGAAATAGATGCAAGATTTCTTGGATTAACAATGGAGAGCAATGGAGTCCGAATAGTTGAACGTTTTGATACCTCGATGAAGTACACAACTGCTTCTGGAAAGACGGATATACACTTTACTGTCTCGGATGTATTTATGAATTTTTCGTTTAGTATCTTGAGACTATTTTTGGCAGTTGAGGAGGATGTTTTGGCGTTTTTGAGGACAACATCGAAGAAAAAGACGGTGGTGTGCTCCGAGTTTGACAAGATTGGAACAATTAAATGTTGGTTATGATTCCTTTTTTTTTTATTCCTTAACATGATAGAAATGATGCAACGACTTATTCCTAGATTTTTGTTTCATGAAGATGGAGAGAAAATGTTTGTGTTTTGGAGACCTCATGCACCTCCGGGTTATGCCATACTTGGTGATTATCTCACACCAACGTTAGTAAACTTCTCACGCTCTTTCTTGGATTTCCTTGTGGTTTTGGCTTTCGTGCTGATAACTTTTGTTTCACAGTGATAAACCTCCCACAAAAGGAGTAATTGCAGTCAATTCTAGCATTGTAAGGGTAAAGAGACCCGAGTCTTTTACTCTGATTTGGTCCTCTTCCCAGTCTCAGGTTGATTCTCAATTTTCTCTCGGCACTGGTCATTCTGAAGAGGACAGAGTTTGTTCCATTTGGTTCCCTCGAGCACCTAAAGGCTATGTTGCATTGGGTTGTGTGGCCTCTCCCGGAAGTGTGCAACCATCATCGTCGTCAGTTTTCTGTATTTCTGCTTCGTTAGTTTCTCCGTGTGATCTGAGAGATTGTATTAGTATTGGCAATAGCATATCTTCTAGCTTGGCGTTTTGGCGTGTGGACAATTCTGTTCGTACCTTCCTCCCTGCAGATCCAACTACGTTGAGTTTGTCTGGTAGAGCTTATGGACTGCGGCACGTATTCTTTGGATTACATAAAGATTCTTCCAAATCACCAGAAAGTTCAGAAAACGGTGCCCCATCTAGTAGTCACCGTAATACTCTCCAGCAAGAGTTATCGTCCTCTGTAAACTCTGCCAGGAGGTTTGAAGCGGTCGCAACTTTTAGGTTAATCTGGTGGAATCAGGGTTCGGGATCAAGAAAGCGATTATCTATATGGCGCCCTATTGTACCCCAAGGGATGGTATATTTTGGTGATATTGCAGTCCAAGGGTAGGGTCTTTTTTTTTTTTTTTTTTTTTTCTTCATGTTTTTTTTTTTTTTTTTTTTTCTTCATGTTTTTTTTTTTTACAATGGTAGCGTTCCAAAATAAGCTCTTATTTTAAGCTAGGAGCTTATTTTGGGAATATTACCAAACAGAGCTTATAGCTTATTAGTAACTTAAAATAAGCTATAACTTAAAATAAGCTATAAGCTCTGCCAAACAGAGCCTGTGTCAACACAGGGGTATGACTTAGATCTTGCATTTTGTTTCAGGTATGAGCCACCTAATACATGCATTGTTTTTCACGAGTCCAATGAAATTCTAAAAGCCCCTTTGGATTTCCAACTAGTTGGGCACATAAAGAAACACAAATCGGTGGATAGTATATCGTTGTGGATGCCTCAACCTCCTTCAGGGTTTGTTTCGTTAGGTTGTATAGCTTTTAAGGGTACACCGAAGCAATCTGATTTTACCTCCTTGAGATGCATTCGCAGTGATATGGTCACCGGGGCTCAGTTTTCAGACGAAAGTATATGGGATACGTCTGAGATCAAGTTTATGAAATACCCTTTCAGTATATGGGTTATTGGGAATGATCTCGGGCCCTTTGTTGTCCGCAGTGGCTTTAAAAAACCTCCAAAGAGGTTTGCTTTAAAGCTTGCCGATCAAGATATCCCTAGTGGTTCAGATAACATGTTGGTTGATGCAGAAATTCGAACATTCTCTGTAGCTCTTTTTGATGATTATGGTGGCTTGGTAATCACCTTTCTTAATCATTATATATTTATGGAATAAGGATCAAATAGGCCATTGAACTGTACACAATAATGCAATTAGGCCACTGAACTTAAAAAACCAACAATTGGGTCCCTAAACTAACCAATTTCAAACAATTCTTCCAATTTGAAGGTTTACAATAGGTCAACAGGTCATCATTCCAAATTAATTATTTTTAAAAAAGTAAAATTTAAAAATTAATTATTTAAATTATAAAAAAAAAAAAAAAAAAAACAGAATCCGGCCGGAGACGAAGACTCTTCGTCTCCGGTCGGCTGTTTTTTTTTTTTTTTAATAATTAATTTTTAAACTTTATTTTTTAAAAATAATTAATTTGGGAGGATGACCTGTTGGAAACCTTCAAATTAAAAGAATTCTTTAAAATTGATTAGTTTAGGGACCCAATTGTTGATTTTTTAAGTTTAGTGGCCTAACTGCATTATCTTGTGCAGTTCGATGGCCTATTTGGCCCTTATTCCTATATTTATTTATTTATGAATTGTTGATTTTCATTGAAAAACCAATGCATCTGTGAATTTAACTAACTTTCTGCCTGCAGATGGTTCCACTGTGCAATGTATCTTTAAGTGGAATAGGTTTTAGTTTACATGGACAGTCGGACAATTTCATTTCCAGTGTCACGTTCTCCTTGGCTGGTAGATCGTACAATGACAAATATGACTCCTGGGAGCCTCTTATTGAGCCAGTTGATGGGTTATTAAGGTAATTTTTCTGTCAAATCGGTTCACATTTTTATGTTTTGCAGGTTTTTATACCTTTCCTCTTGAACAGGTACCAGTATGATATCAATGCTCCGGGGGCTGCTTCTCAGCTACGCTTCACCTCCACAAGGGATCTGAACCTGAATGTTTCGGTATCTAATGTCAACACCATTTTTCAAGCTTATGCTAGCTGGAACAACCTTAGCCATATTCACGAGTCCTATGAGGTAATATCTTCTACTCTTTGTGCAGTATAGGTAGAGTTTGTTGAAAATAAAAGAGTTAGCCAGTTAGGTTTATCTATAGGGTTCTGTCTGTTTATGAATAGGTGTCAGTTATGGGTAGTTACTTACAATTATGTGTTTGTATATTATATATGTACTATGTTTCTTTATACACATTTTCTATTCTTTGATTCTTCATCATTGCTTTTGCCTAACTGGCGGGTGGTGTTATTCTCCACCCGCCAGGCCATTCTATCTTCCAAATTCAACAAAGTTCTCCATCCAGAGATCTATGTACTGATTATTGTATGGATGGCGCTGTCCATAGCCTGATGAATTATCTTTTTGTGCCACTTATTCAGCCGGAAACTGTTTCTCCCACTGATGGGGGCAAGCCGATCATTGATATCCATCACAAAAAAAACTATTTTATTATCCCACGGAATAAGCTTGGTCAGGACATTTTTATAAGAACAACTGGGATGATGACTACTAAAGCAATTAAAATGCCGTCTGGAGATAGCAAACCCGTAAAAGTTCCAGTTGCAAAGAACATGTTGGACTCGCATATGAAAGGAAATCATTTCAGTAAATGCAGAGCGATGGTGACAGTAATCGTAGCAGAGGCAGAGGTGCATTTCATCATCTTTTCTTCAAAACAAATTTACTTTTGGATAAAATTTTGCAGTCCAAAGATCTCTGCCTTTCCAGGCGTAACTCACATCTACCTGCGTTACTTTGAAATGCAGCTCAAGAAAGTTGCGGGATTATCTTCTCATCAATATACTGTAGCGGTCCGCCTGTTCCTGGATCAGAACCAACCCGGTCTATCACTTTTACACGAACAAAGTGCTCGAACTCGGGGAATCAGCGTAGATGATTCTTCTGCCATTGTTTCAGTGAAATGGAATGAAGTGTTTTTCTTCAAAATCGATTCACTGGTCAGTATATTGCTGCCTTGAAAAGTCCCCGATATGAATGGTGTCAAATATTTCATTCTTGATCTTTATGACATACTCAATTTTCTGATTTCCAATCTTCTGTAGGATTTCTACAATTTAGAGCTTGTTGTAACAGACATTGGCAAAGGTACTTTTTTTTTTTGAACTCGATATATTCTCATCTTCACGGGGTTCCTACGTGGAGGTCAAAACTCGCCTTTAATTTATATTCGAATTTCCTTGCAGGCGATGCGGTTGGTTATTTCTCCGCTCCACTGAGACACATATCTCGATTTCAAGACAATTTAGACGGGCTTAATTGGATAGAGATGTTTTCGGACTCACCCGCGGTGGTTCTCATAAGCTTTCCTTCGTGTTTTATGTTTACTCGAGTTTGGGAAAGTTGAGGTTTCCTTACATCATACGATGTCTATGCAGATGGCATCTGGAGAAGAAAGAGTAATGAAATCAGCCGGGAGAATAAAGTGTGGGTGTTACTTGTCCCCTCGAATGGATACGGAAATCAGCAAGAGATCATCTGACAAGGGGAAAAAAGTGGGCGTTATTCAGATTAGTCCCACGAGGGAAGGGCCGTGGACTACAGTGAAGCTAAACTACGCTGCACCTGCTGCCTGTTGGCGGTTAGGCAACAACGTTGTTGCCAGTGAAGTAACCATAATGGAAAATAACCGATACGTGAATATAAGATCCCTGGTTTCAGTCCGTAATGATACTGAATTTACAATGCATCTGCTGTTGAAACTGAGAACTTCAGATGAAACAATGGCTCCGGATAATGAAAGGAAGGAAGAAAACGATAATGGCTATGAATTCGTTCCTTGCGAGTTGTTTGAAACTCAGAAATATACACCTACTGCTGGCTGGGTTGGATCGGATTTCAATGAGGCAAGTTCGTTTCTTGGTCTCCAATCTATACTGTTTCTGAACTTGCATTTGTACTTGTTAAGAGTCTCACATTGAAAATATAAGAGAAAAACATATGGGTTTATAGGGCCGTGGGTTAGACTAATTGATTGATTGGATTCAATCTTTCAGTGCGGTTTTGCCCATGTGCATTATAGCCCAGTTGAGTAACCTTGATTCAATCTTAGATTATAACATGGTGTCAAAGCTTCATAAGCCCGCTTGTTCGGTCCACTTTGGCTTTTGATGTTTTAATTTTGTATTGCTACAGATGGCTTCTGGAGTTGGGTTGCCATCAGGGTGGGAATGGGTTGATGAATGGCATGTTGATAACAGTTGTGTTAAAATTACTGACGGATGGGCTTATGCTCCGAACGTTGAAAGTCTGAAGTGGCCGGAATCTTGTAATCCAGTCGAGTCTGTGAACTATGCACGACAGAGGAGGTGGGTTCGTCATAGAAGATGTGGTTTGGGAGATCATAAACCGCAGTTTTGTGTTGGGCCTCTAAGGCCCGGTGAAGTTACTCCTCTTCCTCTCTCTGCAGTTACTCAGTCTGGACGCTATTTATTGCAATTTAGACCGTCAAATCTGGATGAAGCAGAAGAATATTCATGGAGTTCTGTTATTGACAAAACACGCAACTCACATGATGTTGGTTTGCGACCAGAAAACTCGGGGATATGTGTCTCGAGTCTCCAAGAGTCCGAGGAACTCTTGTACTGCTCGTTGGTTAGTGGAACATCGAGCAGTTCACGTGGCAGGTGGTTCTGTTTGAGTATTCAAGCCACCGAGATTGCAAAGGACGTTCATTCAGATCCCATTCAAGACTGGACCCTCGTGATTCGGGCTCCACTCTCGATAACCAATTATCTTCCTCTTGTAGCGGAGTATTCGGTTCTCGAGAGTCAGAACACCGGTCATTTGCTTGCCTGCGTTCGAGGAGTTTTTAACCCGGGAGAGTGTGTCAAGGTTTACAATGCCGACATTCGAAACCCTCTGTACTTCTCGTTGCTTCCACAAAGAGGATGGTTGCCAGTTCATGTTAGTATCTCGTTACATTTATTCGATTTCCTCTCTCTCTCTCTCTCTCTCGACCATAATATAAGCCTCCTTGATTTTCTTGGTGTTTTTGCTTTTGAAATAGGAGGCTGTTCCGATATCCCACCCTAGTAAAGTACCAACAAAGACAATTAGTTTGCGAAGTTCTATTTCTGGAAGGGTCGTCCAGATCATCCTTGAGCACAGCAGCCATGCTGAGGAAAGACCGTTTGGAGCAAAGGCCATTAAGGTTTATTGTCCTTATTGGCTATCGATTCGAAGATGCCCGCCACTTACGTTGAGATTTCTGGGCTTGGGAGGGAAGAAATCGAGGAAGATATCGTTCCCTTTTAAGTCAACGAGTAATAGTGAGGTCGTATTTGAGGAAATCACCGAGGAGGAAATATACAATGGTTACACAATCGCGTCTGCATTGAACTTCAAAAAACTAGGGCTTGCAGCCTCGATTAACCGTTCTGGAGAGGAGCATTTTGGGCCCATTACAGATCTTTCTCCACTCAGTAATATGGTAATTAATCATCGTTTTAAGTTTCTGTTTCCATAGTTTTTGTCATTTAGTTTACCACTGAATTTTCCGTTTCTCGTTCTTAGGATGGGTCGCTGGATCTTCATGCTTACGATGCTGATCGAAACTGCATGCAGATCTTCGTATCTTCAAAACCTTGTCCTTATCAATCTGTTCCAACAAAGGTTCTTTCAAATTTCAATGCCCCTCAAGTACATTCCCCGGTCTCCCCACCCCCAAATAAAAATGGTGCTTATTTGCGCTTATATTTCAGGTGATTTCTGTCCGTCCCTTCATTACGTTTACAAATCGGGTTGGCCAAAATTTGTTTATTAAGTTAAGCGGTGAAGATGAGCCAAAGGTTTTGCATGCATCAGATGCCAGAGTGTCGTTTGTAGTTCTCGGAACAAGTAGCCCGAATGAATTGCAGGTGAGAACACACTTTTTTACTCTTATACTTAGTTCATTTTCTTGTTGTCTCCACCTCACTTATGGGGCCGATGATACTGTGTAGGTTCGACTGAACGATACGAATTGGTCGTTTCCCATTCGAATTGTGAAGGAGGACTCGATCTTTCTGGTTTTGAGAAAAGCCGATGGTACACGGAGGTTTCTGAGGGTGGAAATTCGTGGTTTTGAGGAAGGATCGCGCTTTATTGTCGTCTTTCGCCTTGGATCCACAAATGGTCCAATCAGGTATCTTTATACCTATATTTCATGCCTCAATAAATTGAAGCATGTGCTCCATCTCAACTAAAAGCCTAAGCTGATAGTTGGATTGCACATTTATGTTTATGTTATATTATATGCTCAACATAGCCAAACCTTGTTTTGACTAATATCTCTTGCTTCTTAGGATTGAGAACAGAACAAGTAGTATGGTAATAAGAATTCGCCAATCTGGATTTGATGATGATACACGGATCCAATTGTTACCTCTCTCAACTACCAACTTTTCATGGGAGAATCCATACGGTCAAAAGCTTCTCGATGCCGAGATTCATAGTGAGAATAGGGATTCAGTCTGGAAATTTGACCTGAATAATTCCGGGTTTTGCTCTAAATGTGACGGGTTGGGCTTGCTTTTCCACGTTATAGATCTGGATGATATTAGAGTTGCTCGGTTTTTAGACGAGAATACGCCAATCTTACCTCCAAATGAAGGGAGCATGTCTTTAACAGAAGCCGGAAATCCGGGAAGCTCTCACATACAGAGCCAGAAGCAGGAGAGCGGTTCTCCTGTAGAGCTTACTATCGACTTGGGTGCTATCGGGATTTCTGTCGTGAATCATAGGCCTAAAGAGCTGTCCTATTTGTACTTCGAAAGGGTCTCGATATCTTATTCTACCGGATATGATGGCGGCACTACAAGCAGGTTCAAGCTCATCGTGGGTTACTTGCAGTTCGATAATCAGCTCCCGCTCACTTTGATGCCCGTATTGCTGGCACCCGAACAAACGATCGATGTTCATCATCCGGTATTCAAGATGACGGTTACTGTCCAGAACGAAATCGTGAACGGAATCCAGGTTTATCCATATGTTTACGTACGAGTAACTGATAAGTGCTGGAGGCTTAACATTCATGAACCGATTATCTGGGCTTTTGTGGAGTTCTATAATAATCTTCAGCTCGATCGTCTTCCGAAGAGTACTAATGTGAGTCAAGTTGATCCCGAAATACGTGTAGACCTGATTGACATATCGGAAGTGAGATTAAAGTTGTCGTTGGAGCCGGCACCCGCCCAGAGGCCTCGAGGAGTCCTCGGTGTTTGGAGCCCTATACTATCGGCTATTGGGAACGCGTTTAAAATTCAGGTCCATTTAAGGCCGGTTATGCATCGAGACAGGTTTATGAGGAAAAGTGCGGTTGTTTCTGCAATTGGTAATCGTTTCTGGAGAGATATAATTCACAATCCGCTTCACTTAATTTTTTCCGTAGATGTGCTCGGTATGGCGAGCTCGACTTTAGCCTCTCTCAGCAAAGGCTTCGCGGAACTCTCGACAGATGGCCAGTTTCTGCAACTCCGTTCGAAGCAAGTCTGGTCGAGACGAATAACGGGGGTCGGGGAGGGTTTCATTCAAGGAACCGAAGCTCTTGCACAAGGCGTTGCGTTTGGGGTGTCGGGGGTCGTGACTAAGCCGGTGGAGAGCGCGAGACAGAACGGCCTTCTCGGCCTCGCACATGGATTGGGACGAGCGGCTGTAGGGTTTATCGCACAACCGGTGAGCGGGGCGCTCGATTTCTTTTCCTTGACGGTAGACGGAATCGGAGCTAGTTGTACTCACTGCATTGAAATTCTAAGCAACAAAACCAGCTTCCAAAGGATAAGAAACCCGCGGGCTATTCATGCCGACAATGTTCTTCGAGATTACTGCGAACGGGAAGCTCTTGGTCAGATGATACTTTACCTCGCTGAAGAAAGACGTCATTTTGGATGTACCGAACTGTTTAAAGAGCCATCGAAATTTGCCTGGTCGGACTATTACGAAGATCATTTTGTGGTGCCCTATCAACGGACCGTTCTAGTAACAAATAAGCGTGTGATGTTGCTACAGTGTCTGTCACCCGACAAGATGGACAAGAAACCGTGCAAAATCATGTGGGATGTTCCGTGGGAAGAACTCCTGGCACTCGAGTTGGCGAAAGCCGGATATCCCAAACCTTCTCATGTCATCATTCATCTTAAAAATTTCCGACGATCTGAAAAGTTTGTTCGAGTTGTGAAATGCAATACAGACGAAGAAGAGTCGGAGGAGCCTCAAGCCGTTAGGATATGTTCGGTTGTTCGTAAGTGGTGGAAAGAACACCAGTCCGACATGCAAAGTCTCGAGTTAAAAGTTCCGTCGAGCCAACGACATGTGCGCTTTTCTTGGGATGACGGTAGAGATCCCAGTTTACGGCACAAAACCATCATTGGATCGGGAGAGGTTTCTCCGTTCATCCAACGGGTTATCAACTTCTCGAAGGTTTGGAGCAGCGAACAAGAGCCGAAAGGTCGGTGTACGTTGTGCCAAAAGCAAAATGCCGAAGAGAGTGGATTTTGTACCATATGGCGACCAATCTGTCCTAGCGGCTACATCTCAATCGGGGATATAATCCGTACTGGCAGCCATCCTCCCAATGCCGCAGCCGTTTATCGCTATTCTGACGACAACTTCGCACCGCCGATGGGTTACGACCTGGTTTGGAGGAACTGCTCCGATGAGTATACTACTGCCGTCTCAATCTGGCATCCCCGTGCCCCCGATGGCTACGTTTCACTCGGTTGTGTCGCGGTGCCCTGTTTTTCCGAGCCTGAACCCGACGCTATGTACTGCATCGCAGAATCACTTGTCGAGGAGACGGTTTTCGAGGAACAAAAGATTTGGTCGGCACCAAATTCGTTTCCCTGGGCATGTCATATTTACCAGGTGCACAGTGAAGCTCTTCACTTTGTAGCTTTGCGGCAACCCAAGGAAGAATCTGATTGGAAACCTATGAGGGTCATTGATGATTCCCAGCATTCGGTTCAGATTCCCTAAGAATTATGTCCGGTTTTGGATTACTATCGAGCTTAATAGTGCAGGTATCCTTCAAATTTTTGTACCAGATTCTGATATATATTCTCACCTGCGATTCATTTCTTATTCTCATCACGGCATCATTCCTTTTAATGGCTTATATACATTGTTCATATCCAAAATTGAATCACATTAGATTTGCCTTATTTTGTCTCTTTGGTTTCTTCACATATCCTACATATCTTTTTGAATGACTTCCATATTGATACACAGATCTTTTGTATCCCCCTAACTTTTTATGGTATTTTGACATTGACATTAGCCCTTAGAGACTTGTTGTAAAGTAGATTGAGAAAAGTTAAAAGTGCAAAAACCGATATTCTTATTGGTCTGCTAGAAATATCATCCCTTGCAGGGATGGATCTTGAAAAAAGTTTGAAAGCGATGCTGTAATGCATCACACAATAATATCTACCTAAAGTCTGAAGATATTTGTTATACCAAAGTGAAAACCAAAGCCATATATCTCTCCTATGAACACTGGTAGCTTGATGATAAACATTGTATACATAACCTATTTTGTTCTATCTATCTTTGCCACCTGTCCTTGCAGCCCTCTATTCCCACCTAACTCAGCGTCGTCCTCTTATGGCGAGCACTGTTGTAAAAATCGGCCTAGGCGGTGCTAGGCGCCCCTAGGCCGTTCCGCTTTCACTATTAGGCGCCGAAAAGTCGGCCAGGCGCCTAAGTCGGCCTCGGCGGCCAACGCGGCCTAGTCGACCAATTCAGCCGAGTCGGTCGATTTTGTCCGATTTTGACCGATGTCGTCTGGTCCAACCGTCTGTATACTAGTTTGATACTTTGAATCTTTGGATGATTGAAGTATTTGAGTATTTCTATTTTTTAATAATATTGTTTTGATGTTATAACTTATTAATTATCATTATTTCATTTATTTGGATGTGTTATTTGATTGAATATTGAAAACAATCTCATTAAAATTGTTAAACTGCAAGTCTGTCACTATTTTTTTGGTGCCCGCCTAGTGCCGCCTAGATTCGAGAAAACATTTTTCTCCAATAATTAGAGATTAGAAAGATGAAGCCTAACAGTGCCAATTCAGGGTTCTTTCTTTACTTTTCATCTCATCATGTGGAAAGAGTGCATAATTTTGTCAGAAATGTACACTGTGTTTGTGTGTGTTTTTTATATTTCATTTCATTGCTTAGACTTTGAACCATAAACTGGATTGCTTTGCTGGTATGTTTTATTTGGTGCATTAGATTTCTTGTATGTTAAGTGTAAAGAACTAAGAGGTCCCAATCAAGAAAGCAAGAGCCATGAGAAGCTTGTGGGGTTTAGAAATCGTCTACGTTTCAGCAGACGGAGAACCGCACAAGCTGTGAGGTAAATACCCAAACGACTCTTCTTCTTTTGTAGTGTTCGGGGACCATTCTATAATAATTATACAATAGTCTTACATAGAAAAGGATTGAAAGCTTTTTTTTTTTTTTTTTTTTTTTTTTTTGGATTTATTTAGCCTAATTGAGCTTATAGAAAATGAGTTTAAAAGTTTGTTCAAAACTTATGGCTTCTAGAAAATGAGTTTGTTAAGTATAAAATTTAAAAATTATTTTAAAAAAATGTTGAAGAAAATAAACAAAGACATAAAAGTGATTTGATTAATAAACAGTAAATAACTCATGTTAAGTAAGGCAGAGAAAGTATTATATTAGATGCTAAGATTGCATTTTGTACATTAAAAGGGATTATTTTTCTTGTTCTTAGTGTGGCATATGCAAGAATTAAATTAGTCCTAAATAAACAACATAATATTAATATGGATTTCATTTTCATGCTCCAATGCCTACGTGTGAGAGGAGAAGAAAAGATGGAATTGTTTCATCTCCATTCCCATTCCAATTGCGTTATTTATTCAAATTTAACAATTATATGTGGTGCAATAAAGGGCAATCACATCATCAGTTTATGAAAAAATTCACAATTACTATTTGAAGAGTATGCTTTGAGTGAAGTTTATAACTTTAACTAACAAATGATTATAAAGTAAATTAGCTTAGATTATCTATAACTGATCAGTTCAAATCGAGAATGTCAATTAAGTCTACTCAATTGGAACTGTTTTTAATATTAATCACATTTGCCCTTTTAAAGCCAAGTCTTATTAACTCATAATTGTGATTCAAATAAATGAAATACCATTCTTCTTCCAAAAGGTTGAATCCCCAACCCTAAGAGCTCCTCACACCTTGGCCCAACAAAGCATTTGGGAGTATGTAAGTCACGGTGATTCAATGGTTCAGCAGACAGGGAGTGCGTATAAGAAATCTGCCCACTTTAAACATAATTTTCACACTGCCACCGCCGAGGTTCGAATCTTGGTCTCTTGCTCCAAATATTGCCCACTGAATCATTGAGTTAAGCCCGTGCAGGCATGAAATACCATTCTTTAAAAACACTTGCGTTAAACTTTATGTGACCCTCTAAATTGGTCATTATCAATGTCAAAGACCATTTGATGTACAGTTTTTGTTTCTTAAGACCAAGAATTAGAAAGGGAAAAACATGGCATAATCAAAATGGATAAGGTTTAATCTCATCCACATGAACAAATTGTCCCACGTAGACATGAAAAGTGCATTGGCTAAATTCCAAAGCTATATGACTCATAGCTGTGCACTGAGATTCGCTTCCAGTTTTCAGCGCCCGTTTTTCTTACTTTTCACCGACAAGACAAGTTGCCCACCTTAATTTTGTGTATGTCTTCTTTGCACGTCTCAATTCAATTTAAATTTTAACTTATTATTTGTTAATTCTATATTTAACATCAATATAACTTACATATTTAATATTAATTTTAAAAATTAGTTAAACTTTGTTAGTGTTTCTTAAATGTTATAAATTCGATTATTGTCAAAATTGTTCTGGTTGAGTCCATCACACATGTTTTCTTAACGCTATTTACTTCTCCAGTATAATTTCTAGATTGTTACACATAAACAGAAAAAGATTACTTTTGTCACATGCCCACTTTTTTTAGTAAAATGCACTTGAGAAAAAAAAAATTATTTATTTATTACATGTGTTTTAACATCTCCACCTACATATATGAACAACAGCCGTTAATAGTTTTGCTAAAATTATACGCCATCTTTTAGAGTTCATGTTATGGCAATATTTAGTGATGTAGAGATGCATAAAAAGGATTTTCAAGAAAATGAAATTGGAACATTGGTTGAAACCACTTGCCCAAATAATTCAAAGACACCCTTCACTCGTTCATAATTATCTTCAAATAACCAAAAATAATTAAATAAAAATTTTCAAAACTCAAGACTTTTTCCCTCCACATATAGGTGTGGAAAGTGAGTCTTGAAAGAATATGCCAAGAGAAGCCAGCCAAAGGGGGCTAGTAGAGTTTGATGGATTTTGGCTTAGCAAAACCACTCATTGCTTATCACACAAACATGGCTGAGATTCTTGTGACAAAAGAGGAAATAGTAAACCTTCCATTTTCTTGCCCAGAAAAAGCGAAATTCCTTCGCTCCCAAGGCCCCCACACCCCGACCCAATAGAATAGCAGAAGGGTAAATAACTATGCTCAGTGCCCACAAAGAGTCCACCACATTGAGTGAAACTCCCACACTGTAGCTACCAGCGCTCGATCATGTGTCCTTGTTCATAATTTACCACGCAAGAATCAACTAAGATGCCAGCATAAAAAAAAAAAAAAAAAGTTCTATGTTCTATTTGACAAAAGTTTATACAGTCCCACCAACATCCAATAATCAATCAGCTTAGACTACTAAAGGTATTTCGGGAGTAAAAATACTCCCAAACAAGTATCATCATTTGTTACTTGTTTAATCAATGGAGATTATAATTTCACAATTAGGGAGACGGGGAGTATTTTTACTTCAAGGAATAAGCTTATCGTTTTCCATCAGGTTATTCAGAACGAGAACATGATCTTACTGTAATCATATGTTGCAAGAACAAGGGATGGACATGGGAGATCTGATAAGCCAACCATAAGATAAGACCTGCAAATGATAAAGAATAGTGTTACTATTGAGGCTCCCCGAAGCATTAGTGTGAACTTAAACAATATGTTTATTCTAGTGTTACATCTGATATATTTAGTTACTTAATCAAGTGAAAAATTAAAAAGTAGGAAGCCAGAGAGGTTAATTCTAAAGTGAGTCAGGAAGCACACAACATATACAAGGACTTCAAACATTCGATAATATTTATGCAATATGAGGCCTCCAACAGGGATTTATAAGTGCAAATTAAGATTCCATTAAAAAAAAAAAAGAACAAGAGAGAGAGCAGTGAAATCTTATTTGGATTAGGACAGGGGGAGTCAGGGACACATAAGAATGATAAGATGCACTTAATATGGCAAATAGTTCAAAATATCACAGAGAGAGATGAATCGTCCAATAAGATATTCTCAACAGATAAAAGTCTATCATAGCACAATATTGTTTCCATTACTGAATATTCTTTGAACTACTTAGATAATTAAAAAAATTTCCAATTTCTTGGCATCAAACACGTGTGGTCCTTTGAATGGCTGATAAAATTTGAATATTTTTAGCATATTGGAGAAGGGGAAAAATATGACTATTTCTAGCAGACAACCAGACATTGAAAAGGTAAGCTGACTGTTTTTGAACTTTTGCACTTTTTTTTACGTCTAAACGAGAGCCCACCAACGTTGTCTCCTTCAAAGACACAAAACCTGCAATTTCTTTATAAATATAAACATTTCCAAGCTTCATTAATTCCTACATCTTCTGAACAATAATGGCTTTAACTCTTCGTTCTTCAACTTCTTTTATCAATCTAAAAGAAATCAAAGGGGTTAAAAATCCTGATGATTTCCCTAGCATAGTTTGTTTTTCCCAGTTCAAGCGATCATGCCACCACCGCCTTCGAGCAAAAAGTTCTATGCAAGAAGCTGCTCTACTTTCTCAGCCTCTAGAAGGCAGGGTGAATGAGAAAAGAGAGAGGCTTCATGGTCTAGCAGCAAATCAAAGCCACAGCAGCAGTTCAAGGGTGCCGGTTTTTATTATGCTGCCACTTGACACCATAACAATGGGAGGAAACCTGAACAAGCCACGCTCGATGAATGCAAGTCTGATGGCCCTAAGAAGTGCCGGAGTTGAAGGAGTCATGGTGGATGCTTGGTGGGGTTTAGTGGAAAAGGATGGACCGTTGAAGTACAATTGGGAAGGCTATGCTGCACTTGTGAAAATGGTTCAAGAGCATGGCCTGAAGCTTCAAGTTGTCATGTCTTTCCATCAATGTGGAGGAAACGTTGGTGACTCTTGCAGGTACTAATACAGTAATCATTTCCTCTAAGTTGGTGTTCAGATTTCCTTCTATTCAAACTTTTAATTCCTTATATATGTGATATGTCTCCAATTCTAAAGCTCAAGTTGTCTAGTTCCTGTATATACAAGTAATATTTTTGCAACAGCTTTCACTTTTTAGGGAATTTTTACTAAGATTTGTAATGGAAAAGGAAGACCAGGAGGATAATGGAACTATATATATATATTTTTTAGGATTCTGTGGACTGGATTTATTATGCAATAGGATAAGAGAGTTACAGAGCTATACTCTTTTAGGATTTTGTCAGCTAGGGTTTATGATGTAACAGAACATTCAGATAGTTATTTCCTCCTGTGGGTTTCAATATTACAGTTTTCATTTAAACTCTATTGTGTTTTCACCATTTCCTATCCTTATTGCTTTCCAGTTTTAAAGCGGTTTTAATTTTGCAGCATTCCATTGCCTCCGTGGGTGCTTGAAGAAATCAGTAAGAATCCTGACCTCGTCTACACAGACAGATCAGGCCGGAGAAACCCAGAGTATATTTCCTTAGGCTGTGATCAATTACCAGTCCTGAGAGGTAGAACACCAGTTCAGGTCTACGCGGACTACATGAGAAGCTTCAGAGAGAGATTCAAGGAATATATGGGAAACGTTATAGTGGTATATTTCCTCTTCTTATTTAAATTTAATAAATGACCAACAACTGATGTCATTATTTGAGAAACTCAAAGCTTGTATCCTAATATAGGAGGTTCAAGTGGGAATGGGACCTTGTGGAGAGCTCAGATATCCATCCTATCCGGAGAGCAATGGGACTTGGAGATTTCCCGGAATTGGAGAATTCCAGTGCTATGATAAGGTAAGCCTTATATGGAGTAATAAACTAAGAATTAAGAACTCCCCAAGCTTAGAGTGAATTCATTAACTATCTATGAAGTCTCTCCTAATTTCATTTCTCAAGGGGGTGAAATATTGATAACATTGAGGATAGATCTTTACAAACAGACAAAGATACTAAATTCTTTCTGTTTTAAAACAGTATATGAGAGCTTCACTAGCAGCATCAGCAGAGGCACATGGAAAGAGTGAGTGGGGAAGAAGTGGGCCTCATGATGCTGGTCAGTACAATCAGTTCCCCGAGGACACAGGCTTTTTCCGAAGGGATGGGACATGGAAAACTGAATATGGACAGTTCTTCCTCGAATGGTATTCTGGAAAGCTACTGGAACATGGGGATAGAATCCTAACAGCAGCAGCAGGAGTATTTCAAGGAACTGGAGCTAAATTATCAGGAAAAATTGCCGGAATTCACTGGCATTACAATACAAGATCACATGCAGCAGAGTTGAATGCAGGATACTACAATACCAGAGAAAGAAACGGTTACTTGCCCATAGCACATATGTTAGCCAAACATGGTGTTGTATTCAACTTTACATGCATGGAGATGAAAGATGGCGAACAGCCTGGGAGTGCAAATTGCTCACCAGAAGGTTTAGTTAGGCAAGTAAAGGTAGCTACTAAAGATGCCGGAGCAGAGCTTGCAGGAGAAAATGCACTGGAGAGGTATGACAGCAGAGGATATGAACAAGTTTTGGCAACAAGCAGGTCAGACTCTGGAAATGGATTAAGTGCATTTACATATCTAAGAATGAACAAGAATTTGTTTGAGCCAGAGAATTGGAGGAAGTTAGTCGAATTTGTTAAAAGCATGTCAGAAGGAGGTCGTAGTACAAGGCTCCCAGAGTGTGACTCGAGCAGAACAGATCTTTATGTTGGACTCATTAAAAAGAGAAATGCCAAGAATGCTAACGAGGCTGTGCTTGTGTAAAGATGCAAATATATACTCATGTAAAGATACTCCACTTTAGACAACCAAGCTAAGGAGGAGGAACATGTCATAAGGTATAAATGAAAATTTTATAGGTCCATAAGCCCGTGAGAACCCAACAAGGATGAATCTATTTCTGCAACAAAAGAAAGAAAGGTAGCAGCACTACAATGTCTAAACACCATGGTTAAGAGGCTTAAGTTCATCCACTGCTTGGGGCCGTCAGAAAGAAGATAACTTTACTAATTCGTCTTCAGCTCTTCACTGCCACAAGGATAAAATGATATATTCTTTCCACTCTAGCACAATAAATTTGTGCCTTTTCCACCTTTTATGAAATATAGAACCATTTGTCATGTACTCAGTGCATAGTTAAATTCCAATCATATTTCTCTTGTATTTTTTTAATCATGATTTGTAATGACTTGATGAGTCTAAAAGAAAATTAAAGTGTTGAATAACTTCATTCAATTCTTCCTCAGCTAAACTTTCAAACAATCAAACACAAATTTCCAAAGACTATTCTCGTAAGAGTGATGAATTCTCAATATAGAATTGCAGGAATCACAAAGCATTCCCATAAATGCAAGGCAAACTCAAATTATGGTCCTCCAAAACGCTAAGAAAACCACAACTTGTAAGCAAAGGCTCTACTTTTCATCTACTCTAATCACCAATTACTACCAATAATTATGATTATTCAAATTGCACCTAATTAAACATGTTTCATCTTCATCTCTACATAACTGTCTGAGTACAAAGCTATAAAGTGATCAAGCGATGCAGATATATAACATACGAGACAGTAACGGTTACCTGATTCAGGAATATGGAGGAGTTGAGCTCAAATCAGAGTTGTTGTTACGGCGAAGACTATCAATCAAGCTTTCCAGCTCCTTGCGAGCAGACTCTCTGCCGAACATGAATCCATACCTGTAGATATGCACCCCCAAAAAAAAATTACTTTTCAGTTTTCACGATAAAAATTCACAGCTCAACATCGAGAATGATAAAAATTACCAGAAAGAAACTGCAGAGAAGACGCCTGCAGTGGCAACTGTTTGCAGTAGACTGAAGTTCTTCTGCATTTACGTGGATTCAGATTTCAGAAAGAGATTACTCAATTAGTTCTTCATTGACGAAGGAGAAGAAGAAGAAAAGAAAAAAAAAAAAATTGGGCCGCCATTTATGCCCAACAAGAAGAATATTGGACATCGAATAGTTCTTTTTGGGTACCATTGTTTTTGGGCTTCAAAAGAAAAAGATCTCGGCCCAATTAAATTTGTTTGAGTTGTTATACCATGGACCAGGGTCCACCTTGCAATGTGAACTTTGGTCTTAAACGACGTATAAATTCTGTATTTTTAGTATTGAAATTGTGAACTTTTAGAATATAAATTGTGTTTCTAAGTCAAAACACATAACAGTTGTAAAAGGGAATTTGTGAATACAATATAGGGTCATCAAATCCTAATTTGTTAATATTATGTGACTGTAATATTTGAAAGAAACTTGTGAATACAAAACAAAGTAATTTTTTTTTGTCAAACAAAACAAAGTAATTAATTACATATATGTTAATATTGTGAGAGAGAGTATACAAATTATGAATTTTAAAAGTTAAATTGTGAACATTTGGATTCGAATCCACCAGGTGGATTTGACTCCACGGAATAATTTGTGAATTTGTGTTAGAATGGACATTGAATTAATGAATTGTTATTTTTGGGGCCATTCAATTTAGCCAAATTTTAATGTGGACCATGGTCCAAAACAGTGTCGTTTCTTTTAATAAAAAGAAATGGCACACGTTTTGTGTAATTAGTTCTGTTTGTATAACATATTCAATTTTATTTATATACATTATAGTTTCATTTTAGCACAACTAAAATTTCATTTTGTTTTAACTACAATTTCATTCGACATTATACATACAATAGGCTTATTACAATGAGACATGTTATTAAATTTCATTTTATACACGTTGTAGTCTTATTACAACACCACTAAATTGTAATTCTAATTCAACTACGGTTTCATTGAACAATATACACTCAAATATGTGAAACGATTATTCAGTTTCATTTTATATACACTGTAGTTTCATTACAACACAACCAAAGTATCATTTTGATATAACTACAGTTTCATTTGACAATATACACTAAATATGTGAGACATGTTATTCAGTTTCTTTTTATACATACTATAGTTTCATTTCAGCAAAACTAAAGTATTATTTCAATTTAACTACAGTTCTATTTGACAATATACACTCAATATATGAGATATGTTATTTAGTTTCATTTTATTCATCATATTGTAGTTTCACTTCAACACAACTAATTAAAGTATCATTTCAATTCAATTACAGTTCCATTTGATAATATAAACCAATATGCGAGACAATTAATTATTCCGTTTCATTTTAAATACACGATAATTTTATTTTATTATAAACACACAAAAAAATACAAAATTTGTTAAATTTAACGACGACCATTTCTTTGCTTAGAAACAGCACCGTTGGATCATAGTCTACGTACGGTATAACAACCGTTCAATTTATGGGTGGACTTAAGAAAAAGCACATCATATCTACTATACTAATAAAAGCCCAAGAGAGTTAGACCTATAATGGATAGAAAAAATGGCGGTCACAGATTTTAGTCAAATGAATGGCTCAGATTGATTAAAAGATTGATCAGATTTAAATTTTACACTAAAATTTTCTAAAATACCCACACACCGTTACTAATTCCGTTAAAATTTTAAGAATTGCCGTTAGTTCACCGTTAATTTACTCATTGATTTTAATAAAAAAGGGTCTTAGGTTCGAACCTCATCCCAATCAAAGTTGGCATAATTAGTACTCTATTTTACTCTTATTAAATTATATAAATAATAATTTAGTAGTTACAACAAAAAATAATACATATGCATTTTTTTAATTTAGAATTATGTGTTCACAATGTCTTTATTCAAAAAAAAAAATTATTCATTATCAATAAATTAAATAAGATAAATAATTTTATTAGTTATATTGTCTTTATTTTGTGCACTATTTTTTTAATTAAATATCAAAGTTATAATACAAAATAATGCTATATATTTATTTACCAAGTATTTTATTAATACCATGAAAAAATTTAAAAAATATAATTAATAAAGTCAATCATATTAACTACTTAAGGGATTTGTTGACAAAGAAAGTATTCAAATCACACAACAAATTGAAATGAGAACTATCTCCTAATGTCCTTATTTGACAATCAGCAGTTAGCGATTAGCGTTAACGGATTTGACCAACGAATTATATCAACGGTTGGTAAAAAGATATTTCAAAAACTTAGCTGTTTAGATTAACATGTAAAATGACCTAAGGATATACATATATTTAATAATAATAATAATAATAATAATAATAATAATAATAATAATAATAATAATAATAATAATAATTGTTTTAAAAAAATAAGAAATATATAATTAAACCAATCATATTAACTACTTGGGGCTTTATTGACAAAAAGAGTATCAAATCACAAAACAAATTGAAGTGGAAAACTACCTCGCAATGTCCTTGTTTGGCAATCAGCAGTTAGCTCTTCAATATTAGTATATATTTAATATTTTATGCCCTAATTTTTATTTGCTCTCCCTTATGTCCCGTATTTGGTTTCAACCATACCTATACAATTATTATATAGACAATTATAATCAATCTTAACTATATTATCTTACATTTGTAAACTTAGAATTACCTATTTAAATACACAAATTCAACATTCAATTATTTATATATGAACAATTCCAATATAATATACTTTAAAGTACTTATTTAAAAAAAAAACATTGGGCATTATCCTAATCGCGCAATGCGCGTAAAAAAACTAGTAGAGTAATAAAATCTTAATTACCCTTTTAAATGGTGGTCATAGCTAGGTTTGGATGGTGGGGGCATAGATTCTTTCTTTCTTTCTTCTTTTTTTTTTTTTTTTTTTTTTTTTTTTTTAAATGGGAGCATAGATTCTTTGTGCTTAAAATGTTTGAGAAAATATAGAACATATACTATCTTGTAAAAAATCATAAGTATTTATTTTTTTAAAGAAAAAAAAAAACACATAAACACACACTTTTAAGATGTGATTAGTAAATTTTAAAAAATGAGTGATTTTTTTTCTAAAAAAAATAAAAATTAAAGAAATGAAAATATGTTTACTTTTTTGTGTTCAAGTAAAAGAATAGAGAACAATTATCCTTTAAAAAAAATAGAGAACAATTCTCCTTTAAAGAAAAATAGAAAAAAACCTAGGTTTTTTAATTTGGAGAAATGGAGATCGAACTCATCCCACTTGTAAATAGTATGTTTGATTTGGAGTATTCTTTTTTATAAATAAAAACAAGCTTATTTATCTGCTTATTAACATATATGCACATTAATTAAATTATATAAAAACGTTATTTCAGTCTCTTAATTATTGTGATTTTGTAAGTTGTCCTTATCTTTTTCAATGTTTTTAAATGTAATCCACGCACCAAATTGCCCAACACTTTAAAAAAATAAAATAAAATAAAATAAAATTAGTCCCTGATATTAGGGTTTAGGTTAGCAACATTAGTGCGTCTTTAAGTTTTCATATGGACATTTGTGACATTTCACATTTCTTTCCACTTGACTTTGCTAAATTAGTAACTAGAAAGATGGTTGTTATATTATAGTTTAGTCTCCGGCATTAGGGTTTAAGTTAGCTTAACAATGGTAAGTTTAGGTTTACAAATAATAATGTAAATGACTAACCATGGACGAGGGTCAATCAATTAGGCCAAAACAAATAAGCTCAAATAAAATTGGCTAGATTGAATTGTTATACCATGGACGAGGGTCCACCTTGCGGGGTCCGCATAAATTTTTTTTTGAATGCTACTAGCTCTATTACATTGTAGTATCTGTTCATATACTTTCTCAATCTACTGAAACACAAAGAGCCAATAACGCCTCCACTGAGGCTCGAAATCACAACCTTCCACTTGGAAGTCTACCCCGGATACCATTAGACCACATAGTCCTGGTGCGGGGTCCGCATAATAATTTGCCTCATATTGAAATCCCTAGTTTTTGCATCATCAAAATAGCCTCCATCTAGAAACCAACTCTATAGAAGTTGCATATAGGGATGGTCACACTTTTTTATTTAGTCCTTGATTGTTTTAATTATTTTCAATGTATTAAAAAAAATTGCAACCATCAAAATAATAACATAAAAATAAGTAAATAACATTTATATTATCTTAAATGACAAGAAGCCAAAAGCGAACTTACATAGTTTTATCGAACGATAACAATAATAGCAAACGAACCCTTGAAATAGAAGAAAACACGACATTACTTGACCCATACGCGAGAAAATTCTTGACTATAAATCGAGTCAAGTTATAACATCCCGCTATAATCAGACCAATCTATTATATTATATAGTCAAACTTGAAATGATAATAAAATTCAAATGCATATATAAATATATAAATATGTAATAAATTATAGCTCCTTGCCATGCATGAAGATCTGAACTTAATTAAAACCTTAACCTCATCAACCCCTCTTTGATCCATCAAACTGCAATCAATCTAACCATGGAAGATCAGAGAATGGGGGCGTTTGAAGGAAGCAAGGGAGTGAATAATGCAGGATTTTGTTGTTGAGCGGCTATGGAGCTTGAAGAGCCAGCGCCGCCATTATTAAGTGCATCAAAGCGGGCACTCACCTGAGTCTGCATCTCTGCCAGGAAAGCTTGGCACCTCTCAACGTCCTCCAAGGAGAACTCGTCGACGGGAGTGTCCCACCAGGTGTTCGACGGAATGCTCTGATCCAGAACCTTCGATCTCTGGTTCAAACCCTCCATGCGAGCCTCCACGCCGTCCATCATTTCGTACAGCTCGTTGACTTGCCGCCGAGAGTGGCCGTCGACGGCCAGAGAGATCTCTCCGCCGGCGTTCTCCGTCCGGTTGAAGAGCCTCCGCGCGATCGACTCCGGCGACGGGTTGAAGTACGAGAACAGCTTCCCCGTCGGAGACGTCAGAACTATCCCGATGTCGCAGCCCGACAGCCAGCAGAGCTCCGTCGCCTTCTTGTAGAAACCTTTGCGCCGCTTCGAGAACGTCGCGAATCGATCGCCGGCTTTCTCGATCCTCTGCATCGGAATTCTTTGCCGGCCCCTGGTTTTCTTGCCCTCCTCCATTGCTCCAATAACTCTCAATATCTCTATATTTGAAACTTTATGATAAAATCTTACAATAAGAACAACACTATTTATAAGTGTTAAAATGGATGTCACGTGAGGTAGGTGTGAGGGAGTATAAAATAATATTTCTTATTTAAGTATAATTTTTTTTTAACGATAATAAGAATATATGAATTCTATATACGCTGATATATACAACGTAATGCGTCACAAGTGACAGCTTAGTTATAATCCGATTATAATAATTTTTTTAATCAAGTATAACTTTTTTACGATAATAAGAATACATGTATTTTGTATTTAATTTGTGTATATATATATACAGAGTAATGCGTAATACGGATAAGTTCAATGACAACGGGGTTACAAAATTACTTAATAAAGTATGATTTTTACAATAATAATACGAAGGGAAAACAACATTTTTGGCTCATGAATGTGTATTATATTTGGTCTCTATTAATACGAACACAAATAGATTTAGTATCTTAATTGTCTAGTATATGTTGCTCTGATCTTTCAGTCCATTGTGCATGTTATATATATAAAACTCCAATCCGTTAACAAACTCGCTCTGTCTTATGAGGTTATTTTTGTCACTTAAAATATAATCAATATCCATCGTTAAATATAGTCTCTTAATAATGTGAATGTCATTTTTAACCATGAATTTTGACTCTAAATGAGAAAAATAACAACATATTATATGTTAATGGAGTTTGACAATTTTATAACACTAAATACTAAAAGTGCAACAATATGAACAATTTATTCGCTCACGTGGTTGAAGGCCTGTAATTATAATAACGTTTTAGTAGAGTCTGATTGTCTTAATTTCTGCACTTATTTTAATTCTTCCACGTTGAACCTTTCGTATACTGGTTTGATTGTAAAGCAATGTCGTGATATTCCTAATGACATTGGGAACGTGTCCGTTCACCATGTCAGGAGGTCAGCGAATCAAGTTGCTCATGTATTGGCACGGACAACTGATTCTTCGTCTGTCCCGGAGTCGTGGTTATCTGTGCCATGCACCGACCTGTATCTCTCATTTGGTTGATTATTAATGACCAGACTTTTATCCTCAAAAAGGGGCTAAATTTATTTAAATTAACTTATTATGGAGTACAAAGACTAAATTTCCAAAAATAAAACAATTCAAGAGTTAAAAATATCACTTTTTCTCATAAGAATATATGTCACAATCACAATGGGACCACAAAATTCTCAATTATATAAATAAATAAATAAATAAATAAATAAATAAATAAATAAATAAATATATATATATATATATATATATATATATATATATATATATATATACAAAAACACATACTAGTATTTTCTATGCGTGATGCGCAAAAATCAATGTCCAATATTAGTACCCTATATTAATTAAAATCTTAAATTAATTTAGATTTTAAATAATTATTATATATAATAATCTAAACCATTTTTATAAATTTGATATTTTTTTTAATGATACTGACTCTATTACATTGATAATTATATTTATATTTGATATTTATATTTTAGAAAATAACTTTTATATTTATTTTAAAGAGTTAATTTCATTTTTAATTTGGTCCTATATTTATAGGTGGAAGTCCACTTTTAGTCATTTTTTATCAGAAAATTCATTTTTGTCCTAGTATTATTGCGACATGACCAATTTTGGTCCATCATCAAAAATATCATTGAAATTTCATTAAATACAAGAGCATTTTGCTCTTCAATTATGAATTTTTTGAAAAAATAAACATAAAATATATAACGGGTTAACGCACTTTGTATTAAAAAGATCAAAATGTCTTTCTATTTAACGAAATTTCAACGATTATGTTGATAGAGGATCAAAATTAATCATGTCACAATAATATTAGGACCAAAAGGGGATGTTCTGATAAAAAAATGACTAAAAGTGAACTGTCACCTATAAATATAGAACCAAAAATATAATTAACTCTTTTTTGAAAATAGAAAATAACTTATATAGTACTCCAATATATAATTTCTATATATTATTACCATCAAAGAAGAAAAAAAAAATGGTGGATGCTTGTGCATGACAACAATAGTTGGAAAAAGATAACGACAGTTGTAACAGTAATGATATTTTTTACCAAAATATAGTAGAGTACCACTCCAATAGCATAATGCATAAAAAGAGAATAAAGGTCAAGTAGGTCATCCAACTACACAGTGAATTGCAATTGGACCATCGAACTCAAAAACACTACAATTAGGTCACAGTGCATCTAGTAACATATTGGTGTGACAATTACCGAATTTTAAAATATTTTATTATTTTAATAACTTTAAATTAAATAATCATTTAAAAAATCACTCATCACCTTTTCTAGTGAGAAGGCGACCTGTTTGCCTTCTCTGGTGAGGAGGCAGCCTCAAGTCGCCTTCTCACTAGAGAAGGCAACTCGCAACTGGTTTCATTCTCTGGTGAAAAGGCGACCTGAAGTTACCTTCTCACCAGAGAAAGCAACCCAGTTGCCTTTTCCACTGAGAAGGCGGCCCAAACCGCCTTCTCTAGTGAGAATGCAGCTGGGTTGCCTTTCTTCGATAAGCAGGCAAACCAGGTCAGTTGCCTGCTCACCAAAGAAAACATCCAGTTGCCTTCTCTATTGAGAATACAACTGGGTTGCCTTCTCACTGAAAAAGACAACCCAGGTCGCCTTCTCACTGGAGAAGGCGACCAATTAGGTTAGCTTCTCAATAGAGAAGGTAACCCAGATGCCTTCTCTGGTGAGAAGTCAGCCCCTCGCTAAGAAGGCGATTGTTTTGTTTTTAATTTTTAAATAATTATTTAATTTAAATTTATTAAAATAAAATTAAAAAATAATTTAAAATTTGATAATTGTCATGTCAGCATTTTACCAAGTCGATATGTCATTTTAGGTTGGATTGCATTATTTTACATTGTTTGGAGACTTAATTGTAGTTTTTTTTTTTTTTTTAGTTCAATGACCTAATTGCAGTTTGTTGTGTAGTTGAATGACCTATTTGACCCTTATTCTTAAAAAAAATAAAATGTAACCTAAAAAATAGATATAAATGAAGAGTGTAACTTTCATTTACACTTATTATTTTTTAGTTATATATATATATATATATATATATATATTTATTTATTTATTTATTTATTTATTTATTTATTTATTTATTTATATATATAGGGTCAAGATCTGGTGCGGCCACTGCTTCGTGTGGGATTGTGCAATCTTGCACCACTATGTATGCACAAATGCACCATTACGTGTTCAAAAATGCGCCAGGGTGTGATGCATTTGTACATTTTATGATACATTGGTGCATTTTATGCTGGTCCATTTTTAAACATGTGGTGGTGCATATGGTACAATCCATATGGTCGCACGAGAATAGGGTGCCGCATTTGAACAAAGATAAAAATTGTTTAAAAATAACAAGGATATATTTATGTTCTGTGTGATTTATGTTGTGTGTGTGAATTTTATTTATTTATTATTTATTTATACAAATTAATGTGCCAAGAATACATTCGTGTAAAATTAATTGTAGTGGGAACACAAAATTACCTAATTAAGCGTGAAATTAATAGCACGTGTATGTTGGCGGATGAAATCTTATTCATTATGTTAAAATAGGAAAAAAATTTAAGGAATATTAAAAATTATATGATCTTATATAGGAAAATGCATTGCCAAGAAAGGAAAAAAATCCATTATCTTTAATATACAAAATAATGTGTCACGACTCACGAGGGATAAATAACAATATTTCAAATCAAATATTGAGAGAATTACAAAGAATTTTTATTATTTACAAATTATTATTAACCAAGATTATATGAATATTTATTGTATTTTAATTTAAAATTTATCGTTGTTATAACGTGTGAACTGAATGTTTAGTATGGTACATAATAACTAGAGCCAAATATTCAATATTTGTTTCACTAGTAGTTGCAGTCGTGCTATGCACGATTATATGTATAGTATATGGAATATACAGTATAAAATACAGTTATTGAAAATCTAATAAATTTCAAATGATAAATATTGAAATTTTATTACACATTGTTGAAGACTTCTTTGTACACAACATTTTTTGTCATACTTAGACATGTTACATTTTCGCCACAAATCAATATTTTTAAACTCATTGGATTACTAACTCTTGAAACAGCTACGTACATTTGGTCATGGTTAAAGATCGATTTTTTCAAAAAACAATCCACTTTGGAAAGTGTTTGTCCTTGACTTTTGTTTATTGTCATGGCATAGGATAACATCAAAGGAAGTTGCTTCCGTTTGAACTTGAAAGACAGTGTTGGATCTGACGGTGTCAGTGACATTCTCGAAATTAATACTCTTGTACTTGCATTTGTACCGCACATGATATGGGCTTCCAACACGTGATCAGCTAACCTTGTAACAATCAACCTTGTACTGTTGCATAACACAAGAGTGTGATCAATATTTCTCAATAGCATAACATGTGACCCAACTTTCAAAAGTCAAAGCATGATATGGTACTCCAGAACATCGCTGACCATTCAAGAATTCTGGAGTGTACAAATCCGCTAACATATCTACATTTGAATCTGACTTACAAACAGAATCACAACTGAAGTAAGTCCTACCCTCAGCCGGATTATGATCATTCATGTATTGGTTAATGTTATCTACGACATCCAATGTTGGAGCCAAAATAGCACTATCTTTAAGATATGACAGATCCCCATTACCACGTCTAAACATAGGAAAGATGTTATCAACAATTGTAGCAATAGGATCATCATCACACTTGAGCAATAACTGTTAGAAAAATGGAGTGTTTGATGATAGGGAAGTGAAGAAACAGGATCTTCAGGCGTGTGATCACTTTCCTATAAGCTTTAAATCTCCCTTATATAAAGCAACAAGGTTCAAGATTTAATCTTATGAGATACAAGAAGATGATGAAATTCTTAAGTTGCTTGTTTAAGAACTTCCTGT